CCTACTGATGGTGAGTTCGGTCTACGCACTCTTTTCACTATATTCACTCCTAAAGTACCTAAGGCGTTCGGGTACGGAAGGAGTTGAAATAAAAGTTCCTCTTTGACCGTTCGGAGATGGTGGAGTGGAGTGTGGATCGGGCATGCGCATAAGGTGATTTAAATTGATAATAAGTTAATTGTGACTGATTCTTTAGTAAATAAGTTTTTTTTTTTGGTTCTCGTGAATATCATTAATATGGAAGAAACTTATACGGTCGTTACTGATAATTACGATTAAATTTTAAGTACTGAACATTGACAACTGACATTGCACTCCGAGAGTTAAAGGAGTAAAATCATATTCGCACTCCGTTTACGCCTAATTATTCCACTCCACTTTGGAGTGCGCAGCCCGAACTCACCTTTACATAGTTGACAAATGACAGGCGCGCAAAAATTAATTTGAATCGCGAATAACAACTGTCAAACAATTATTGGGGCATAAGATAAACTGATAATAATAGAGTGTATAGAGTGTTCACAGTCAATACTAGATAAGTCAGCAAAAATAGAAAAATGACTTTTATATTGGTATCATCAAACAGTTTTTAGTGCTTTTTGTTAATATACTCCGTATTGTGAAATTTCGTATTTCGTATCTAAGTATATTGTTAACTGGTATTTCGATAAATCGATATATAAGTAAAGATCAATTTTTTTCGAAACTTTATTAATCAGTAGAGCGAAAATGTAATAATTTGATATCATATTTTGTTTATTTCATAAACAGATACAGGCAAACCATCAAAATCATTTATTTGTAATTAAAAAGAACAAAAATTTTTATTATTTATCGGGTTTTCGCTCTGGACCTGCGGTATATTTTTTAGAGTATTTAATACCTTGAAATGGTAAATTCGGCACCATTTGACAACCACGTTTAAGCTCATTATATTCCGTATCATATTACACGATAGCGTCTATAAATCCCTACATTTCTGTAATTTGTTTTAAAGAATTCACAATTTTGCATTCTTGCCCTCCCCCCTCCCCCTGGAAAAAGTTCTGGCGGCGCCCATGCTCGACGACGACAAGGACCAAAAGAAGATAACAGACATTCTGTAGATAGAATTATGACTTTTTTTGGGCACTGTACTCGTGTAAAAAATATTACAGGAAGCATGGATTTAAATTACAAATCCTGTGTGCGGGATTAACAGGATGTGACCTGAGTTCTGAGTTATTCAACACCTAGTGAAAGAAAGTTTATCTACAGCGTTCGGAATACTATTACCATCGGGGGTGTAGCTCAGATGGTAGAGCGCTCGCTTAGCATGCGAGAGGTACCGGGATCGATGCCCGGCACCTCCACAATTATTTTTTTTTTTATTTTTATCGCTGTAAAAAATGGGTAATTTGATTGATAACAATAATTTAAACAATTTTTATGTTACAGTTCATCAAATTTCTAGAGGCTTTCGACGGCTAGACAGAGAAAGCACTACTGACAGGCATCCCGACGGATTTACGCAATGAAAGTACACTCTGCGCATCAAGTATTTCACTATTTCATTCAGACGTAAATGTCAGATGTAAATTTCGCTAAAACATTTCTTTTATTTTCGTTTGTGTTTTTTGCTCATTACAGTTTAATAGAACCTAAGTATGGAGTTTAATAGCAAATTAAGAGGCCGCGTGATTAACAGTCAATCTCGCGAAATAATAGCCAATGTTATAGTTTATGAGAAGAGAAGGAAACTTTAATTCACCTTCAATACCATTTAAAAATGTAAATGATCATGTTGCTGCAGCCACAGGAGTATCTAAAAACACTGTCGTCCGCATTTCTGGAGAGAAAAAAAGAATCGATAACCGTGAGATATCGGAATTTTCATCACCAAGAAAAACCATTAAAAAACCAAAAACAGTTAATGATATAGATGAAGCTGCACAAGAATCAAATTTTATTTTTTTATTATTAGATAGCTATTTTTGTTTCTGAGTTGTGTTCATTTACAGGCTCAATTTTTTTCCGTTTCTCCTTTTTGATTTTATATGGGGTTTCAAGTTGTTTTTGACTTATTTCGACGTAAATCACAACAACACACTTTTTTAATAAAGCAAACAAGTGTTAAGAGGTATATGTACGTGTAAACTACAATTACAAAAAATTGATATGAAACCCATGAAACCACCAACAAAAATGTAAAGCTAGCTTCCGTACTAGAACATGGTGTCATTCGTCGAGATAATTTATCGTTTTGTTTAATAGATCAAGAAATGTAAATATTCCCCTGTTATTTTTTATAAAATTATAAGAGAAATAAATTTTTTTCTAAATAGTATAGTTTATTATTTTGTAGAAAAACAAAATTTCGAAAATTTTAGTAATGTTTCAGAAACAACCGTTATTAATAATAGGTACCATTTTCCTTAATAAGGTAGAAATAAAATAATAAACTATTTCCACGATTTACAAAGGCCTACAAAAAAATTATAGGTATTTTCCGCTATCCTATAAAATTTATATTTTCTGACTCAATTTCAAAAGGTTGAAGGAATTCCAAAACACCTTTTATGGCATAATAATTATTTTCAATTCTACATACTATCTTTAGCTGCTTTTAAAAACGTTCTAAGAAAGTCCAATCAGACCAATTTAATCCCTAAACTATTTCACACTTTTAAAATTTAATTACCTAAAAATATTAAAAACTATTTAAAATAACTTGTTTAGCAGACTGTACAATAGCTATCTCAGTCACACGTAGCGCGTTCTCTGTCTGGGCGTCGAACACCTCTAGAAATTTGATGAACTGTACTTTAATTTAGATTTTAGTATAAGTTAAAATGGAATTGAAACTTTAAATACAGGGTCAAAAAATAAAAATTATTACTTATATCAATAAACATATTTAATTTATAAACATTTATCAATTCATTTTCGATTTTGAAATTAATACAAAACTTTTGTTACAATTTATAGAAACAAACACAACAAAGAACTATAAAAAAAGCTTTTAAAGGGAACTAGGTTTACAATGGTAATAAATTACTAGAAACTTGAGGAATGTCTGAGGAATTATATAAGTCGATAGGGAATTGCCACATTATGGGAATGTCCGAGGAATGGCGGAGATAAATTTAAAGGAATTGTGGGAATTTTATAGTAAAAGAGATTTAGAATGTACAAATGTTTGTCTGCGGTTTACCCGTAGATCAAGAACTTCGCCATGAAATATAAATATTTTTTGTTTAACTGTACAAAAATTAAATGCATTAAAGAAAAATTTGTTGCAATTTGATTTAAAACAATAATTTTCACGTTATAGATCGGATCGGCATTACTATGACTTTCGTAACCATAAAACGTCTTCATATGATTTATGTAGTCGTTTTGATATTTGAACTGTTAAACAATAACTTCAGACCCTTCAACTGATATGAAAGCAGTGCAAACGCTGTAATTTATAATGTTACCGACGAAATCCAAATTATTGTACGGGAAAATATAAAATCGTTGATATGAAATAAACAGTGAATAAAATTTTTTCGCGTATCCTTACCAATCAATAAATGCAATCTTTTTTGACAGTTAGACAAAAAAGTTATTTTTTACAATCTCCTTTTTATTTTAAATGTTCTTAAAAGCCGTTTATATATTTTTTTAACATCAACGAAACAAAGCTATATAAAATATATAATTAAAATTATGTATTTCAGAAATTAATTTTAAAAAGGCATTATAGGCCAAGAAATTGAGTAATTTGCCAGTAAAAAATTAGAGTAAAGCTAAAAATTCGATGTCCTGATGATCCCCTTTCAGTTACTACCGGGCTATCTGGCTTGTATTTTTTTAAGGAGGCCTTTATTCGATATTTTGGGAACGTTGCGCAAATTGCCAGTCAAATGAAAAATTCTGCTCCAGTCTTCATATAGTGAATATTAGTGACAAAAAAAAACGGTAAATTTCATCCTAGTTACACCCCTATTTTATTGCACTCATAATTTTCCCTTGAAAAAAGATTAGAAAACAAGTTATAAAAGTAATTTGAAAAACCGACACCAATTCGTACAGATACCATTACAAATTAATTTTGCTGATCGATCACCACCTCTGTTCTAGAGGGTAGTACTTTAGCCGGAGCTTTTTATCAACCTCTAGATCAGCTGTACTCAACCTTTTTTTCTTTCAGGCCACATAAATCTGTTTGTCATGCTACACGGGCCACAATATTTTCGGGAGATAGTGAATGTAAATAAAGGACAAAAAATGGTCCTTATGTTGTTTTAATAAGCTTTAAAGTCGCAAGCACAATTTGTTTCAAAAAAGGACTGTGCTTAGAGGGCTGCACAAAAAAGCTTGGAGGGCCGCACAAAACAGCTTGGAGGGCCGCATGCGGCCCGCAGGTTGAGTATGGCTGCTCTAGATGAATTCTGGACAAGGTTTTTTATTTTAGACCAATCATTTGCGGCGTTCATTTTTTTTTTTTAAACATCTCCAAAAAATGAAAGCTAGATAACTCGAGAGCAATTAAAAGGGAATCATCAGGACATCAAATTGGACCAACATACCAATTTGTAGCTTTATTCTAATTTTTCACAGGTAAATCCTGTCCCAAACGCTACATTGCTTGGACTATTATTATAGCATCTTAAAATTTAATTACAATCATTTTTCTTCGCAGGTACTAATCAATATTAAATGTACGAATATAAATCAATGTATAAAATAAAGAACTACACATAAAAACTTGTAAATAGATATTTAAAACGGAACTACAAACTATAGAAACATTTTAGTCCAGGCGGCAGGTCTAAAACTTAATTTAGAATACTTTTTCTATAAGCAATCATTATAGAGGTGTAATAATTCTGTTAGCTAGGAGGACTCCTTTAACAGCTATCTTAAATATCTCAAAAACGATTGACATTTCGTCTTTTTATTTCAATTAACTATAAAATTCATATTTCAAGATTATTCCATTAAAAAGTTTTGTAGATATTTAAAAAACTACCTGCTGACTGGACTATATATAAAATTAAAACAAATAGAAACATTAAAAAATAGATATAAAAATTTATTTTAATTTTGGGTCAATTTTATTGTTGATGAAAATGTTTGTAAAAGTCCTGGGTCATTTGAAAAAAATTTACCGGCATACTATGTATGCCTGTGTTCAACTGGACCATTCTAATTGGTTGTTCAACAAAGTGGTTCTAAACAAGAACAATACATATTAATATAAGCTTTTGAAAAATGAGATCCATTTGAAAAACTAAAATCGTTTTCTGTGAGCCAGGAGAACATTATTCACAGTTTAGATTAGGGCTGGACAAAATTATCAATTATTTTTGTCTGGTCTATTAATCGAAAATAATCGATTATTTTAAACATTCGGTAAACAATTATTTATTTTGATAATCGTCCAGCTCTAGTTTAGATAGGAATCTAACTATAAAATATAATATAAATCGCAATATTTAAATAAGTAAAGCAATAAAAAGTAGCGCAGCTTGAAACGTCTAAAATCATGTATGACATAAAAGAAAACGTGCAAATATAAAAAAATTATCGAATGTCAAAAAAATGACTGATTCGTCAAAAACATGTTTGATATTCAAAATGTTATCAAATTCTGTTCCTTCGGTTTGGCAATAAACGTGTTAAAAAATAATATAAATCCCTGTACTGTACATAAATTAGTAAAACAACAAATAGCACAACTTCAAATCGTATAATAAAAAAACGTGTAAATGTATAAAACAATATGTCAATATAAAAAGAACTTTGTTTTTCATTTTATTTACTGTAGTTCACTAAATTTTGGGAAAGAAACGAGTCAGCTATAGTCGCATGTCAAATACAATGTATGTAAACAGCAAAAAAAACATCAAAATAATTTTAATTTTCAAAAATTCTCGCATTTGTGAGCCATTAAAATGTTATTAGAGTGGAAACTATTAACATAATTATTTATTTTTATTCTTATTGTTTCAAAAAGAGGTCTACTTTAATGTAGAAGGTATTAATATTAATTATCAATTAATTAATTATCAATTAATTATTATTAATTAATTATTATCAATTAATTATTATTAATTAATTATTATCAATTAATTATCAATTAATTATTATCAATTAATTATTATCAATTATTATCAATTATTATCAATTATTATCAATTATTATCAATTATTATTAATTATTATCAATTGTTATTTATTATTGTTATTAAATATTAATAATACTAATTTATTTCCAAAAAAATCCATTAAGTGTCAAAAATATCAGCAATAACAATTAAATATTTATTTATCTAAGAAAACTTGTTAAATGACAAATTTTTATTTTACTAGAAGTCGCTAAATAATGAAAAACACGCGTCAGCTTTAGTCACATGTCAAATAAATCAAAAACAAAAGGCACTATAAAATAATTTTCATAAAATCTCCCATTTGTGAGCTAAGAAAATTGTATTCACAAATTAGGCAAGAAATCCAACTTTAAAACATAATATTAATTAATGTCAAAAACGTGTGGCGTTAGTTAGGACTAGCCATTCAAACTGTTTGTCAATATGAATTTTGTATTTATTATTGACTTAAATAAATGTGGTAAAAATACGACTTTTTATTGCCAAATGCTTTTTAAATTAAAGCACAGTAATTTAAAAAAAATATCTGTCAAAGTAAAAAAATCTGTCAAATGTTAAAAAACATGTATCAAATGATAAAAACACAAAAAAATATTAAATGACACTGTTATTCATATGTCAAATACATTCAGTATGAAAAGCAAAAATCACTTTAAAATAGTTTTAATTTTCATAAAATCTCCCATTTGTGAGCCAAGAAAATATTATTCAGAAATTAGGTAGGAATTTAACTTTAAAGTATTATAAATTTCTAATTTTTAATTATTATATCAGATAAGTAAAGCACCAAATAACACAGCCTCAAAATGTCTAAAACAATGTGGATGTGAAATAAATATTTTGGTAAATGTTAAAAATATCTATGCGAATGTCAAATAAAAAAATTTAAAAATGGCAAAAAATTTATCAATATAAGAAATAAAAAACATGACTCAAAATTAAAGCCGAAAAAATATTTGTCAAATGTTAAAAAACATGTATCAAATGATAAAAACACTGAAACATCAAAAACAAGTTAAACGTTAGTCATTGGAATTGTTTTTAATATATGAAAAATTATTAAATGACAATTTTATACATATGTCAACTACATTTAGTATGAAAAGCAAAACTCATTTTAAAATAGTTTAAATTTTCATAAAATCTCCTATTTGTGAGCCAAGAAAATATTATTCACAAATTAGGTATAAATTTAACTTTAAAGTAAAAAAATTATTGTATCAGATAAGAGATATTTGAATAAGTAAAGCACCAAATAACAGAGCTTCAAAATGTCTAAAATCATATGGGTGTGAAATAAATATTTTGTTAAAAAAATATCTATGCGAATGTCAAATAAAAAAATTTAAAAATGGCAAAAAATTTATCAATATAAGAAATAAAAAACATGACTCAAAATTAAAGCCGAAAAAATATTTGTCAAATATTAAAAAACATATATCAAATGATAAAAACACTGAAACATCAAAAACATGTTAGACGTTAGCCAATGGAATTGTTTTTAATATATGAAAAATTATTAAATGACAATTTTATACATATGTCAAATACATTCAGTATGAAAAGCAAAACTCATTTAAAATAGTTTTAATTTTAATAAAATCACCCATTTGTGAGCCAAGAAAATATTATTCACAAATTAGGTAGGAATTTAACTGTAAACTAATATAAATGTCTAATTTTTAATTATTGTATCGGATAAGAGATATTTGAATAAGTAAAGCACCAAATAACACAGCTTCAAAATGTCTAAAACCATGTGGGTATGAAATAAATATTTTGTTAAATGTTAAAAATATTTATGCCATTGTCAAATAAAAAAATTTAAAATAGCAAAAAATTTATCAATATGTCAAATAGAAAACATGAATCAAAATAATTGCCGAAAAAATATCTGTAAAAGTAAAAAAGGTCTGTCAAATGTTAAAAAACATGTATCAAATAATAAAAATTATTAAATGACAATTTTATTCATATGTCAAATACATTCAGTGAGAAAAGCAAAACTCACTTTAAAATAGTTTTAATTTTCTTATAATCTCCTATTTGTGAGCCAAGAAAATATTATTCACAAATTAGATATGAATTTAACTTTAAATTAAAAATTTTTTAATTTTTAATTATTGTATCAGATAAGAGATATTTGAATAAGTAAAGCACCAAATAACACAGCTTCAAAATGTCTAAAATCATGTGGGTGTGAAATATATATTTTGTTAAATGTTAAAAATATCAATGCGAATCTCAAATAAAAAAATTTTAAAATAGCAAAAAATTTATCAATATAAGTAATAAAAAACATGACTCAAAATTAAAGCCGAAAAAATATTTGTCAAATAATGAAAAACATATATCAAATGATAAAAACACTAAAACATCAAAAACATGTTAGACGTTAGCCAATGGAATTGTTTTTAATATATGAAAAATTATTAAATGACAATTTTATACATATGTCAACTACATTTAGTATGAAAAGCAAAACTTACTTTAAAATAGTTTTAATTTTCATAAAATCTCCTATTTGTGAGCCAAGAAAATATTATTCACAAATTAGGTATAAATTTAACTTTAAAGTAAAAAAAAAATATTGTATCAGATAAGAGATATTTGAATAAGTAAAGCACCAAATAACACAGCTTCAAAATGTCTAAAACCATGTGGGTATGAAATAAATATTTTGTTAAATGTTAAAAATATTTATGCCATTGTCAAATAAAAAAATTTAAAATAGCAAAAAATTTATCAATATGTAAAATAGAAAACATGACTCAAAATTAATGCCAAAAAAATATTTGTCAAAGTAAAAAAGTCCGTCGAATGTTAAAAAACATGTATCAAATAATAAAAACACTGAAACATCAAAAATACATGTTAGACGTTAGCCATTGGAATTGTTTTTAATATAGGAAAAATTATTAAATGACAATTTTATTCATAGGTCAAATACATTCAGTGAGAAAAGCAAAACTCACTTTAAAATAGTTTTAATTTTCTTATAATCTCCTATTTGTGAGCCAAGAAAATATTATTCACAAATTAGGTATGAATTTAACTTTAAATTAAAAAATTTTTAATTTTTAATTATTGTATCAGATAAGAGATATTTGAATAAGTAAGGCACCAAATAACACAGCTTCAACATGTCTAAAATCATGTGGGTGTGAAATATATATTTTGTTAAATGTTAAAAATATCAATGCGAATCTCAAATAAAAAAATTTTAAAATAGCAAAAAATTTATCAATATAAGTAATAAAAAACATGACTCAAAATTAAAGCCGAAAAAATATTTGTCAAATAATGAAAAACATATATCAAATGATAAAAACACTAAAACATCAAAAACATGTTAGACGTTAGCCAATGGAATTGTTTTTAATATATGAAAAATTATTAAATGACAATTTTATACATATGTCAACTACATTTAGTATGAAAAGCAAAACTTACTTTAAAATAGTTTTAATTTTCATAAAATCTCCTATTTGTGAGCCAAGAAAATATTATTCACAAATTAGGTATAAATTTAACTTTAAAGTAAAAAAAAAATATTGTATCAGATAAGAGATATTTGAATAAGTAAAGCACCAAATAACACAGCTTCAAAATGTCTAAAACCATGTGGGTATGAAATAAATATTTTGTTAAATGTTAAAAATATTTATGCCATTGTCAAATAAAAAAATTTAAAATAGCAAAAAATTTATCAATATGTAAAATAGAAAACATGACTCAAAATTAATGCCAAAAAAATATTTGTCAAAGTAAAAAAGTCCGTCGAATGTTAAAAAACATGTATCAAATAATAAAAACACTGAAACATCAAAAATACATGTTAGACGTTAGCCATTGGAATTGTTTTTAATATAGGAAAAATTATTAAATGACAATTTTATTCATAGGTCAAATACATTCAGTGAGAAAAGCAAAACTCACTTTAAAATAGTTTTAATTTTCTTATAATCTCCTATTTGTGAGCCAAGAAAATATTATTCACAAATTAGGTATGAATTTAACTTTAAATTAAAAAATTTTTAATTTTTAATTATTGTATCAGATAAGAGATATTTGAATAAGTAAGGCACCAAATAACACAGCTTCAACATGTCTAAAATCATGTGGGTGTGAAATATATATTTTGTTAAATGTTAAAAATATCAATGCGAATCTCAAATAAAAAAATTTTAAAATAGCAAAAAATTTATCAATATAAGTAATAAAAAACATGACTCAAAATTAAAGCCGAAAAAATATTTGTCAAATAATGAAAAACATATATCAAATGATAAAAACACTAAAACATCAAAAACATGTTAGACGTTAGCCAATGGAATTGTTTTTAATATATGAAAAATTATTAAATGACAATTTTATACATATGTCAACTACATTTAGTATGAAAAGCAAAACTTACTTTAAAATAGTTTTAATTTTCATAAAATCTCCTATTTGTGAGCCAAGAAAATATTATTCACAAATTAGGTATAAATTTAACTTTAAAGTAAAAAAAAAAATATTGTATCAGATAAGAGATATTTGAATAAGTAAAGCACCAAATAACACAGCTTCAAAATGTCTAAAACCATGTGGGTATGAAATAAATATTTTGTTAAATGTTAAAAATATTTATGCCATTGTCAAATAAAAAAATTTAAAATAGCAAAAAATTTATCAATATGTCAAATAGAAAACATGAATCAAAATAATTGCCGAAAAAATATCTGTAAAAGTAAAAAAGGTCTGTCAAATGTTAAAAAACATGTATCAAATAATAAAAATTATTAAATGACAATTTTATTCATATGTCAAATACATTCAGTGAGAAAAGCAAAACTCACTTTAAAATAGTTTTAATTTTCTTATAATCTCCTATTTGTGAGCCAAGAAAATATTATTCACAAATTAGATATGAATTTAACTTTAAATTAAAAATTTTTTAATTTTTAATTATTGTATCAGATAAGAGATATTTGAATAAGTAAAGCACCAAATAACACAGCTTCAAAATGTCTAAAATCATGTGGGTGTGAAATATATATTTTGTTAAATGTTAAAAATATCAATGCGAATCTCAAATAAAAAAATTTTAAAATAGCAAAAAATTTATCAATATAAGTAATAAAAAACATGACTCAAAATTAAAGCCGAAAAAATATTTGTCAAATAATGAAAAACATATATCAAATGATAAAAACACTAAAACATCAAAAACATGTTAGACGTTAGCCAATGGAATTGTTTTTAATATATGAAAAATTATTAAATGACAATTTTATACATATGTCAACTACATTTAGTATGAAAAGCAAAACTTACTTTAAAATAGTTTTAATTTTCATAAAATCTCCTATTTGTGAGCCAAGAAAATATTATTCACAAATTAGGTATAAATTTAACTTTAAAGTAAAAAAAAAATATTGTATCAGATAAGAGATATTTGAATAAGTAAAGCACCAAATAACACAGCTTCAAAATGTCTAAAACCATGTGGGTATGAAATAAATATTTTGTTAAATGTTAAAAATATTTATGCCATTGTCAAATAAAAAAATTTAAAATAGCAAAAAATTTATCAATATGTAAAATAGAAAACATGACTCAAAATTAATGCCAAAAAAATATTTGTCAAAGTAAAAAAGTCCGTCGAATGTTAAAAAACATGTATCAAATAATAAAAACACTGAAACATCAAAAATACATGTTAGACGTTAGCCATTGGAATTGTTTTTAATATAGGAAAAATTATTAAATGACAATTTTATTCATAGGTCAAATACATTCAGTGAGAAAAGCAAAACTCACTTTAAAATAGTTTTAATTTTCTTATAATCTCCTATTTGTGAGCCAAGAAAATATTATTCACAAATTAGGTATGAATTTAACTTTAAATTAAAAAATTTTTAATTTTTAATTATTGTATCAGATAAGAGATATTTGAATAAGTAAGGCACCAAATAACACAGCTTCAACATGTCTAAAATCATGTGGGTGTGAAATATATATTTTGTTAAATGTTAAAAATATCAATGCGAATCTCAAATAAAAAAATTTTAAAATAGCAAAAAATTTATCAATATAAGTAATAAAAAACATGACTCAAAATTAAAGCCGAAAAAATATTTGTCAAATAATGAAAAACATATATCAAATGATAAAAACACTAAAACATCAAAAACATGTTAGACGTTAGCCAATGGAATTGTTTTTAATATATGAAAAATTATTAAATGACAATTTTATACATATGTCAACTACATTTAGTATGAAAAGCAAAACTTACTTTAAAATAGTTTTAATTTTCATAAAATCTCCTATTTGTGAGCCAAGAAAATATTATTCACAAATTAGGTATAAATTTAACTTTAAAGTAAAAAAAAAAAATATTGTATCAGATAAGAGATATTTGAATAAGTAAAGCACCAAATAACACAGCTTCAAAATGTCTAAAACCATGTGGGTATGAAATAAATATTTTGTTAAATGTTAAAAATATTTATGCCATTGTCAAATAAAAAAATTTAAAATAGCAAAAAATTTATCAATATGTCAAATAGAAAACATGAATCAAAATAATTGCCGAAAAAATATCTGTAAAAGTAAAAAAGGTCTGTCAAATGTTAAAAAACATGTATCAAATAATAAAAATTATTAAATGACAATTTTATTCATATGTCAAATACATTCAGTGAGAAAAGCAAAACTCACTTTAAAATAGTTTTAATTTTCTTATAATCTCCTATTTGTGAGCCAAGAAAATATTATTCACAAATTAGATATGAATTTAACTTTAAATTAAAAATTTTTTAATTTTTAATTATTGTATCAGATAAGAGATATTTGAATAAGTAAAGCACCAAATAACACAGCTTCAAAATGTCTAAAATCATGTGGGTGTGAAATATATATTTTGTTAAATGTTAAAAATATCAATGCGAATCTCAAATAAAAAAATTTTAAAATAGCAAAAAATTTATCAATATAAGTAATAAAAAACATGACTCAAAATTAAAGCCGAAAAAATATTTGTCAAATAATGAAAAACATATATCAAATGATAAAAACACTAAAACATCAAAAACATGTTAGACGTTAGCCAATGGAATTGTTTTTAATATATGAAAAATTATTAAATGACAATTTTATACATATGTCAACTACATTTAGTATGAAAAGCAAAACTTACTTTAAAATAGTTTTAATTTTCATAAAATCTCCTATTTGTGAGCCAAGAAAATATTATTCACAAATTAGGTATAAATTTAACTTTAAAGTAAAAAAAAAATATTGTATCAGATAAGAGATATTTGAATAAGTAAAGCACCAAATAACACAGCTTCAAAATGTCTAAAACCATGTGGGTATGAAATAAATATTTTGTTAAATGTTAAAAATATTTATGCCATTGTCAAATAAAAAAATTTAAAATAGCAAAAAATTTATCAATATGTAAAATAGAAAACATGACTCAAAATTAATGCCAAAAAAATATTTGTCAAAGTAAAAAAGTCCGTCGAATGTTAAAAAACATGTATCAAATAATAAAAACACTGAAACATCAAAAATACATGTTAGACGTTAGCCATTGGAATTGTTTTTAATATAGGAAAAATTATTAAATGACAATTTTATTCATAGGTCAAATACATTCAGTGAGAAAAGCAAAACTCACTTTAAAATAGTTTTAATTTTCTTATAATCTCCTATTTGTGAGCCAAGAAAATATTATTCACAAATTAGGTATGAATTTAACTTTAAATTAAAAAATTTTTAATTTTTAATTATTGTATCAGATAAGAGATATTTGAATAAGTAAGGCACCAAATAACACAGCTTCAACATGTCTAAAATCATGTGGGTGTGAAATATATATTTTGTTAAATGTTAAAAATATCAATGCGAATCTCAAATAAAAAAATTTTAAAATAGCAAAAAATTTATCAATATAAGTAATAAAAAACATGACTCAAAATTAAAGCCGAAAAAATATTTGTCAAATAATGAAAAACATATATCAAATGATAAAAACACTAAAACATCAAAAACATGTTAGACGTTAGCCAATGGAATTGTTTTTAATATATGAAAAATTATTAAATGACAATTTTATACATATGTCAACTACATTTAGTATGAAAAGCAAAACTTACTTTAAAATAGTTTTAATTTTCATAAAATCTCCTATTTGTGAGCCAAGAAAATATTATTCACAAATTAGGTATAAATTTAACTTTAAAGTAAAAAAAAAATATTGTATCAGATAAGAGATATTTGAATAAGTAAAGCACCAAATAACACAGCTTCAAAATGTCTAAAACCATGTGGGTATGAAATAAATATTTTGTTAAATGTTAAAAATATTTATGCCATTGTCAAATAAAAAAATTTAAAATAGCAAAAAATTTATCAATATGTAAAATAGAAAACATGACTCAAAATTAATGCCAAAAAAATATTTGTCAAAGTAAAAAAGTCCGTCGAATGTTAAAAAACATGTATCAAATAATAAAAACACTGAAACATCAAAAATACATGTGGGTATGAAATAAAATATTTTGTTAAATGTCAAAAATATTTCTGCCAATCTCAAAAATATTTTAAAATGACAAAAAATTTATCAAATGTCACAAAGTATAATATCAAAAATATGTCTTATTTATAATTCATTTCAACCATTTCTAAACAACGTATATTTGTGAGCTACTATAGAATTTTATTCACAACAGATACATCAAAACAATAATAAAGATACATCACAGTATTACCTGATTTGGGTATTGAGACACCCAACAATCACAAGGAGAAGGATAAGGCACTCCGCAAATTTGATAATGTTCGGGCTAAAATAATAATTAGAAATATTTATATAATTTTTTTTGATACTATTAAAATAATTATAATATTGCATATTTTCAAAACTCTTTATTAAAGACTATTCAACAATTAATAAACTAGGTAATGAATCACACATTAAAAATTATTTATTAGAAAATAATTGTAATTATTTTTATTTTTATATAATTTTAAAAATGAACGTTTTTTTTTTAAATTTGTATACTTACAGCACTAACAGGCATGCCATAATTCACCATAATATGAGAATTTTGCACGTATCTTGGGATATCTTGATGTAAAGAAACTACAGGGCTATTTGGTACCGTTCTTAGCATGAAAGGGTGCTAAAAAAGACGCCAAAGAAAATTAAAAATAAAATACAATTTCAAAAAAGGTATAGTAAAACTAGAGATCTAGTGACTCTCATAAATCATATTAGCCGACGACCCTCATTATCACTATTGTTCAATTTGTAGATAAGCGATGAAATCGTCTGTTGATTAAAAGATACCCAGGTCCGGATTAAAATATATATTCTCATGAAATAGTAAAGAATGTTTTTTTAATAATATAATTGAGTGCTCTCTATTTCAATTGTTAACAGTTTTGAAAGTAAAACTATTTTTATAATAAAAAAATTCCTAGAATTTAAAGTACTTATAAATAAAATTTACTTGCCTGATCACCTGACTTTCTGTACTAAACGTCTATTAAGGAGATTAGCGATAATGGGATATAGAGTTACAAATAAATTACCAGACTTTGAAGACAAGAATACTATTGTTTAAGATATCCAGTCCTATAATTCCAGAGTTCCAGACAGATTAGAAAAAGTTAAATACATAATGGGGAGTTTTGAGAACTGACCAATTACCGTTTTTAGAAACGAAAGGAGGATAAAGTTAAACTAAATTCAGTCATTTACGAATGTTCCGTTGTGTTAGTTGAGTTTATTTCGAAGTGCCTTAAAAATTTTATATAGTGAAAAATGTTCCGTCCATGGGTTGAACCTGCAGTCATTATTTCAACTGGAGGTGGTTATACCACTAATCAACAAGTTTTAACGTTGATGGGAAAAAAAATTAGGTGTTTATACCTCCCTTATTGAACGTGGAAGACTCAAGCAGTGCGAGAAACTGCCTCTTTAACGAAAACGCCGTATTCTACAGTATTTAAAATAGTAACTAACTCTATTTTAAAAAGACTCTGGTACTTCAAAGAAACTAGATGGCTGTGATGTAGACTTAATTCGAAGGAAAATATATGACTTAAAAAATTTAATAACAGCAAAAAAGTCTTAATGGAATCTGTGCGCCTTAAGCAATGGATATTTCAATATTTCGTGGGCTGAGAACCAGAGGGTTCCAAGCGAAATTTTTTTCAAAACACGTTTTATTGCAAGAAAATCAGATCCATAGAATCCTGCATCGTTTGCTGTACAAACGTTAAGCCTATTCCCATAGATAGAGCCACTACATTATTTGTAAAATAGTTCTAAGCGGCAATGAACGTCATTTTTAAGAATCATAAGGTTCCAAGTGATTGTTTACTCTGTTGTTTATGTCATAAAGTTAAAAGTTTGTGCCAATTTCATGCTTCTTAGTGGCTTAAAAGCCGTGTAATATGTCAAATACTTCATAAGAAGGGACCTTTGACGACTTTTTAAGCTCTGGATCTGAATATATGCCCGACTATGAAGTTAAAAAGAGGTTTGTTTGTTAAACGATGTATTTAAGAATTTTTAACCTCAATGTTTTTAGAAATTTACAATTATCAAACGAGAGCAGCTTCGACAGCGAAAATTTAAACCATGAGAACTCTCTTTTATTTCTAAAATCAAAGGGTGTAGCAGCAGTCAGAAGGTAAAGTATTTTTCAATAAATAGAAATGTATGACAATTTAATGAAAACAATTTGTCTACCTTAAGTTTTTAAGTTAAAATTTTATCTTATTGCAGACTTTTTCCTGAAATTATGGAGCCCTCAAGCTCAGCAAATAAGAATGTTCAAATCATCGTTCAATAGTCAAGTAAGGAATATTGAAAATGGTACTAGCATATTTTGCTAATTCATTAACCTTTTTTGTAGAACTTATCAGAAAGACAATAATACTTATTGTGATGATAATCGTATTGTCAATTACACTGATTCTGAAACATCCGAATCATCATCAGATAAAACCCCAATGAAGGAGAAGGACACGTAAACGAAAGAGAAATATTAGCCTACGAAAAAGTAATCAAAGAAAAGAAAAGTACCAAAAGGGGCAAAGTTATATAAACAGCAAAGGAGAATTAAAACCTGCAAAAAAGATTGATGGAAGTAAATATTGCACTAAAAGCTGCAGATTTCAGTGCACAAAAAACTTTACAATGGAACTAAGGGAAGAAATAAAAAATAATTATTACTCTATGGATCAAAATAGTAAAAATTATTTTTTATTAAACAACACAAAAAGAATACTAATAAAAAGAAAAAGAAGTAGTGTTACAAATTACCGGTCTTTTTCATTTGAGTATTTTTTTGAAAAAGAAAACAAAAAATTAAGAATATGTAAAAGTTTTTTTTGACCACCTTATGTGTTAGCCAAAAGCCAGTATATAATGTTCATTTGAAGAAATCTGACGCAGGTACACCTCAAAGTGATCAGCGGGGGAAATATACCAAAGATCGTATTACAAAGGAAAGTAAAGACGAAATAAGACAACACATAGAGTCTTTTCCTCACGTGGAGTCTCATTACTGTAGATCCGACTCTAAAAAACAGTACCTTGATCCTTTATTAAACATTAACAAAATGTATGACTTATACATTGAATATTGTTTAGAAAAGCAAATTCGTCCACTAAGTGTTTCGTTGTACAGGCACATTTTTAACTATGAATATAATCTTGATTTTCTTAAACCAAAAAGTGACCGATGTGATTTTTGTGAAGAGTATAAAATTGCCCAGCGGGAGAACAGAATGAGTGAAGAACTGGAATTGTTAAACAGGAGAGCACATTTTAAAGAAAAACCTAATGAGAACAGAACGCGAACAAGATGGTAAAAATACAGCTGTGAACTGTGCTGTCGTGTGTTTTGATTTACAAAATGTTATTAATGTACCAAAATCAGATGTTTCAGTCCTGTTTTATAAACAAAAAATGAATGTTTATAACTTAACTGCACATAATTCCACTGACAAGCAATGTTATTGCGCTGTTTGGTCAGAAACTACATGCGGTAGATCTGGAAATGACTTGGAAAGTGCACTGATGCAAATTATTGAAAAAATTGTTATAAACAATCCCAACATTACAGAAATAATAACCTGGAGCGACAGCTGTGTTCCTCAAAATAGGAACAGTTTTATCTCATTAGCTGTAGCCAATTTTTTACAGAGGTATCAAAATATCAAACATATAACAATGAAATATTCCTTACCCGGGCATTCCTGTATACAGGTTGTTGACAACATTCATTCCCGTATCGAGAAATTTATGCGAGTACAAGATATATGGTCCCCACTTGCATTTGTAAAACTTTTGCTAAAGTCTGATAGAAAAAAGCCTTTCTGCGTTATTAACATGAAGCCCAAACATTTTTTTGATTATAAAAAAAGTACAGATAGTTTCAATTATGGTAATGTACCTTACAGCAAAGTCTGCCAATTAAAATTTTTGCAAGGTAGTCCTTTTGAGGTGCAATATAAAGTGGAAAATCATTCTTCACAATTTATTAAAACAAATGTAAAGAAAGAAGTAAAAACTAGAAAAGGTCGCAAAGAAAAACTTACATCTAAAGAACTAAATAGGATGGATGCAACCTTTAGTATTGAGCCTGTAAAAATTTTTAAAACTAAGAGTTTTACAAACAAAAAGATTGAGTCAATAGAATTTGCTTATAAATAAATGGATGCCACTCGAAGATAAAACTTACATGAAAGCCCTTATTTCAGAATTTAAAAATAAATAATTTTTTTTGGTTTACATTATATATTTTTTTTTATGTTCTGTTGTTGCCATTTAAACAATTATAGTTACCTATTTAAATAAAAGTTATTTTTTTTATTAATTGTATTTCAATTTCACAAATTTTTGTTAATAAATTATATTCATTTTCATTAAACTGTCGCTTGGAACCTTCTGGTTTTTTAAATTTAGCTTTTCTTAAGGTTCTAATTACAGTCAAATTTTCATACTTTAATGTATATTACTTATTTTTTTAATCTATATAAAATCACATAAGCACAAGTTACTTAGAAAATAAATGAATAATGACATAAAATTTTAAAAATCAGATAATTACTTCGTTTAATAAATTTTTACCAATGTCAAACATTAATATTGATTTTCTGAACAATTTTAGATTTGGCGCTTGGAACCCTCTGGTTCTCAGCCCACGATTTATTGGCGATAAATGATTTTAGAGAAGCTGGCAGAACAGTTGTGTATTTCGATGAAACTTGGTTCGATACACACGATATTCCAAACAAAAGTTGGATAGACTCATCTGACTTGTGCCAAACTAATGCGCCACATAATAAAAGCAAACGTATTACTATAATACACGCAGGAACCAATAATAGTTTAATACTTAGTGCATTGTCGTTATCGGCAAAAAATATTAAGGACTCCTTAGTCGATTACCATGACGACACTACTGCCGAATTATTTGAAGATTGGTTCCAAACTATACTTTTGCCAAGTATTCCACCCAACAGTGTTATCGTCATGGATAATGCAGCTACCACAGTCGAAGACTGGATAAGGCACCTTGTTCAAACGACATAAAAGCCATCATACAAGATTACATGGTAAACAATGATTTGTACTTTGAGGAAAAGTATACAAAAAAAGCAGTTACTGGAAGTTTTAAAAAGCTATTCAATACAAAAGAAATATTTTTGTGACGCATTAGCTGAGAGCTTGGGACATATGGTGCTCAGACTTGTTTAACCCAATTGAACATATATGACGTCTGCTTATGTCAGCAGTTCGAAGGAATAATACTTCTCCAACCTTAAGTTCGACTGTGGTAGCTCTTATTCAAACAAAAGCTGCAAAAATTCCTGATAGCAGCTGGACCAAGTGTGTTTCCCATATAAAAAAGGTGGAAAAGACATATATTGATATAGAAAAGATACCAAGAGAAAGGTTCATTATTAATTTGGATGACGATAGTGAAAGTGAAACTGAACTTCATGAGTAATTTTGTTTAAATAAAAATATTAGAAAATGAAATGTAAACATTCCACTATATTAAAAAAAATACTTATCTGAGTAATTCAAAATCGACAATTGTTTCAGAAGCATAAACTTCTATCGTCAGGATTGACAATAGTGCAATTTTTACATTTCATTTTTTAATATTTTATTTATTATGAATAGATTCCACAATATAAGAGTAAAAACAATCACTATGACCTAGCTACTTGTTCGTACTTTGTCATACTGATTTTTATTTTTACCAAGTTATCACTTTATACTTTTTAATAATTATATTTTATATGTTCAACCTACATTCTGTACTTTTAAATACTTTATTTTCTACTTTTTAGTACTTCTATTGCCTACCTACTTTTTCGTACTTTGTCATAACGATTTTTACTTTTACCATTTTACCACGTTATACTTTTTAATAATTACATTTTATATATTCAACCTACATTTTGCACTTTTAAATACTTTATTTTTTACTTTTTAGTACTTTTATTACCTACCTACTTTTTCGTACTTTTTCATACTGATTTTGGGTTATATCAAGTTACCACGTTACTTTTTGTACACACTGTATAATTAAATAAACAATTCTGAATTATAGCATTTTTTTTTAATATTACCCCAATTATCGACCTATAGAATAAAACTTAATGACTAGAGTAGGAACGTCTCTGCGTAGAGGCGGCCGCCTGCAGATAAGTAAATTATCTGCTGTTTTATGGTAGTCGTCAGATCTCTGGTTTAACTATACACTATGTTGTTGTCATAAACATACATGCTTCAGATGCCCCTAAACATACTTTTAAACTGTTCTAAATTGGTAAACTTCAAAATAATGTATCAAGCAACAAAGAAAATGTGTCAAACGTCAATTAAAATGTGTTAAACGTCAAAAAATGTGTCAAACGTCAAAGAAATTGTGTCAAACGTCAAAGAAATTGTGTCAAAAGTCAAAGAAATTGTGTAAAACGTCAAATAAAATGTGTTAAACGTCAAAATCATCTGTCAAACGATATTCAGACTTTCCTTAACTTGGCATGAATCAATCTATTGTACCTTTAATAAAAAATGTTTTACCTGACTGACATGAGTGGTCATCACAGGCATTATAGGACTCTCATTTGACGAAAATGAAGAACAACCTGATGCCTCCGAAGAATTATTCTAAAAAGGAATTAAAAAAACAATGTTTACTTAATTATTATAATCTTAACCAGTCGTTGATAATAAATTGTTACTTACATTTTCATGATTTATTGAATCATATGAACCAGAAATGCGGTCTTCACTCGTCTAAAAATTAAATTATAATTAATATTTTTTTGTTTCACAACTTTATTTAAACTGTACCTGATTATCTGAACACTCTGAACATTCGCTAAGAGAAGACGATGTAGCCATATTGGGCAATCTAAAAAAATATATTGTTAACGAAACTCTCAACAACAGTTTCCGCAATGCAATGACTCTTTCACTGTCAGTTTAGTTTATTCTAATAAAAAAAATACGCAAAAATATTTAGTTTGATTTTGATTGTATATTTATATTTATCTCACGGCACGTAACGTGTTAATAATTCAAAGAAAGAACATTGATGAAACTCTAACAGATTCTATTAACGCTTCAAAGAACCACCCTTTTAACGTTGCACCAGTGTTGCCAGTTCTAGTATTTAAACAGATTTACTGATTTTGGTTTAAAATCTACTGTTTTCATTAAATATTATTAAAAAATATACTAACCCAATTATTATTTTTAAGAATTAATTTTTAGAATATTTTTGCAAATAATTAACGATTTGATTATGCGTCATATTTATATTGCGAGAATCCGATTCATATTGATTAGTTTATATTTTTTTCAAGAATATTTACATTTAATTTTCTTTTAATTTATTTATATTTTAGAAATATTTATTTTTATTTAATAAAAGTGTAATTTTGAGTTTGTTTTCCTTCCACCAACCTAATTTTCTATAAATTTTTTAACTGGCAACACTGACACTCGACCAAGTGTAATAAATTTACTTGCCTGGGGTAAAATTTCCTGAAGGAAAGCTTGAAATCGTGTCCAAACAGTTTGATATTCTTCAGCAATTTAAAACTATCGAATGCCACCGTTTCGTTTTCGAAAGTTACGTAACCAACTCCATTTTGCAAAAAAATGTTTAGAATATGCTTCGGTTTTATCACTTTGATCAGTTCTTCGTATAAATCCGGTTTAGTCAATTTTGGTAAAGGAACTTCAAAATAGACACGTTTTGACTACAAAAAATTATATTCGATTTTAAAAGTGATCAAGGAAATAAATTAATCAAAGATTTAAATTTAATGTATTATAAAAACAACTATACGAGCAGCACTGGTAAAGTTGGCATAATCAAATACTGCGTTCTTCAGTTATCAAATTCGTAAATTTTTAAATCTTTAACGTATAATTCAGATGACAATTTCGTATCGCAACCCCTATCCCTCTTCGTACGGTGTCCCAAATGTATACCTATGGCTGGCTAGTCCCATATTGTACCCCTTATTATACTAAACTAGACAAATGATTATTTCAAATACCTACATATTTAGTGTCGAAAATAATTGATGTGTTGATTTTATAAAACATAGATTATTTTGTAATCTGCAAAAAATAATTGTCCGATTCATGTAGGCATTGACAGATGAGGTTGAAGCTAGCAGACAAACCGCGCGGCGGTCCCTTAATGTTTTGATATTGTTATTCGGCAAAATCTTTGGTTTAGGTGGACTTTAATATTATGAAAGTTTAGAAATAAATCAAAATTAGTGTATTTATTGAAAAAAATGGATTAATTCAATTTGAATTATTAGTTAAAATAAGATAATCTTACATAAAGACGGAGACGAAACAATAGTATATTACACACCGAGGTGGGAAGAGTTTCATTCCTGTCGTGAGATTAGTTAGATCTGCGAGACGCGAAGCGTCGAGGTTAGCTATGATCTCCAGACAGGAATGAAACTTTGTACCGAGGTTTGTATACTATTTTATTTACAACCATCATATTTCGATCAAAGTTAATAAATCTCTGTTTCGTTCTGAACATACCTAAAATATTACATTTAACAAATTACCCAAGCGCGCGGTTTTCTCAGAATAATCAAGTAAATATATTGTTACCGTGATTACGGGGTAAACAATTGTCACCAATGTAAATAAATGTCAGATAAATGGCAGTATTAAATTCGCGAATAATAAATATCAATAAGTAGTTTGTTGTATTTTAGTTCATTGTTTTTTATTATCTGCCATTAAATAGGTATTATAAAATTTGTCAAAAAAATGTGTTATTTTTTTTTAAATATAAAAAATATTCATCTAGAATAGATTAAATGAGGGCGGGAAGTGAGGGCAAGAAGTAGAGGTGTGTAATGTGAATGTGACACTTCCCAACCTTCAATGACGTTAGTAATGACAGCATTACATATATGGTTGTAAATAAACACATTTACAATGCTATTATAAATATATTTTTTATACCAATTATTCATTAGGTTTTTGTTAATTGATTAAACAAAAAATTATTATGACCGAGCAATAATTTAAAATATATTTTTTTGATCTTTTTAAAGTCAGGTGTTTAGTCGTCAAACGACTATGAGAACAAAGAGAAAAAAACACATTTAGCACGGGATTACAAATACAATTTTTATATCAATAATTTAGTACACTACTAGCCATAAAATAAATAAAAAATCATTAAATAGTAAGACATCTAAATATAGTTTTTAGATCTTTAAAGTCAAGCGTTTCCGAGGATAAATATTACTCAATAAAACTAACAAAAACAAACATTTAGCACGAGATTCCAAATACAATTTTAATACCAAAGATTCAATAAACAAGTGTCAATAAAAAAATAATAAATCATCAAATAGCAAGACCTCTAATTACATTTTTTAGGTTTTTAAAAATGCACGGTTTCGCGGAAAAACATTATTCTATCAAAATATCAAAAACCAACATTTAGCACGAAATTCCAGATATAATTTTTAATATAAATGATTCAATACATTAGTGTCATTCATAAACACAATAAATAAATCATTACATAGCAAGACCTCCAAATACGTTTTTTAGGTCTTTAAAAATACGCGATTCCGCGAATATACTTTTTACGTTATCAAAATGACAAAAACCAATATGTAGTACGAAAATTCAGGTATAATTTTTAGGACAAATGATTCAGTGTAGTAACACAATAAATCATTACATAGCTTCAGAAAGCCAATATACGATATTCTTCATCCCTATTAACAATTAAAAAATCGTCCCTTCTATTAGAAAAAATGGAAAAGCCTAGTGCTCGGTTGCGATCTCAATATAAAATGCTTTTCTTGTTTGAAGATAGAGGTACTTTTGTTACTCCATTTCCATCTTTCATAGTTTCTGCATGCTATTCAATAAAATTAAAACTAACTAACCAAAAAAAATGTTTATTTATCTGTAATTTCGAATATTTCACTATTTTTGAAACTCCAATACTGTTTGAAATATGGCATTGTTGCCTAGTAATTGACGACAGTCAATATGTCAATAACTAATACAGTATACGCTCCGTATATTAGGGACGTCAGAATTTTGAAAAAAATGTTGGTACACTGTAGTTTATTTGAAAATGCATGATAGCACAGTTTTTATGGCAAAGATCTATATTTTTATATTTTTGCTATCATTCATTTTCAAATAAACTATAAAAATTACTTATTTTATATAGTGGGTTCCTAAAAAAAAATACGGAAAACACACATTTTTGGAAGAAATTTAAATTTTATGGGTTATATACCTACTTGCCATATATGTAAATAGACACCGATGGTTAACAGTCAAATTTGAACAGACACGAAGTCTCTATATCTTCCCAAAAACTTACACATCAGCAACATCATTTAATTAATTTGTTGTCGGAAACCCGAAGAAAAATATTTTTTTGTTTTTTAATAATTAATTTCCTACGCAATGATACATCCAGCACTCATTTTGGTTATGGGACTAAAAAGAGCCAATAACAACGTGCGAACACCAAATTATAGGCGGGACATAAAAGCGCGCTCGTTTTGAAAGTAACGCCGTGAATAGCAGTACATCGGATATACACGAATTATTTGTACATCGGATGTATCCCCCATTATTTGTACATCCTAATTCTAACATAACTTTATTTCAGAAGATAGAGTTGAAGACTTAAGTATTTTTCTGTAGTATTTTATAAAGCTTAGAAGCAAATTTCACATACATGAACTAATAATAATAATGCCGTGACAACAAGAAGACGAAGCAACGACTTCTCGTAGGGTATCGCCACCACCAAAAATTTTCAATCCATACACGGCAATCCGACCGGCATAAACACCAACGGCCTGGACACAGCTCACCTACGAGTACTCTGTCAAAAGGAGACCGATGTACAAATAAAGCGCGTACATCCGATGTACTGCTAGTCACTGTCATAAAATAAAAGAATAATATTTCAAACCAAAACACATATATATCTAAAGTTGAGGTTAGAAAACTTGTTTCCATCATCACTATTTTTCGCAGCATTAAGCTCCGCCCCTTCTGTTCCTTCCGATTGGTTAAATTGGCACTCGTAAAGGAAATGTGTGCTAGATGTAGTTTTGCATTTCCTACTAGGTTAGTTTTGACTAGCTTAATTTAATTTGACATTTGACGTTGTAGGATAATTCAAAACTCGCACACTGTTGTCAAGTTGTGCAATATGTCTTAAATAAAAGGAATTCCAAAACCTTGTTTAAGATTTATATAGGGCTCAAGCAGGGGCGGCTCGTCACCAAAATTTTGGGGGTTCACAGTAGCAGAGTATAGATGTCGTACAGATATAGGTAAAAAACAGTCAGTGTTTTAGAAAGGTATATTGTAAACTTTCTAAAACACCGAAAGTTTTTTTCATATATCTGTACTGATATCTATATTATGTCACTGTGAACCCCCAAAATTTTGGTTACAAGCCGCCACTGGGCTCAAGTACTGAAAAACTTGACTTTTATTTTTCAATTAGCAACGATTAACTGATACAGGTTTGAAAAATTTGCTTCGCCCATATTGTTTATTAATATTTCAGCCAATCAACTTTATATATGAAGAACATTTTTACCGACAAACTTACAGCTATTTACGAAACCAGTTACGAAATGCGTTATTTTATGTAACGAGTGAATATTTGGGGGACGAGCAGAGCGAGGTCCCGCAACATGAACGATTTCGTAACGTGTTACATACAATATTTTTTCTAATTTTGACTAAATTATTTATAAAATTGTTTTTTGGTGAGAAATTACTGGCCTCTAGGCAACAAATATTACTACTTTCTTGTATTGTTGCATATACCTAATTTTATTGATTATTTATTTTCAACGAATTGTGTTTATATTTATTAAAGTTTAGTTTTCAAAAAAGTGGGTTATTTTGTCGTGTGTTCTTTTAATTGTTTTGTGCTGATTAAAAATGAAAAATAAGGACTAAAACAACATTATTACTAGCTTGTAAGTTTAATCATCTTTTGCCCTTCTTTGATATAAACTTTCAATAATAACATATATTATTAATTTTAAAACCAAAAAGGTTTTTTCTTTATTTGTTTTCTTTTCGTAACTGGTGATATAATACATTTTTTTAAACCAGTCTCATAATGTTCAACATTGTGCAACTGGTTGTGTAAAGTAGATTATTTTGTCACTTGCTGTGATTATACTCTATAATATGTCAAAATTAGAAAAAAATAAGAGTGCGCCCGGTGCGAATTTCGAAACGTCGGCCGGGCGCGCTCGCTTCGCTCCAATATTAATATGACATTTATAGATGGGCCCAATCCATTTTAGTGTGAGACGATTCTGCGTGGGAAACATTTGCTGCAACAAATAACACGAAAGACAACTTAGCGCAATAAATGCTCTATTGAAAAACGAATATCATTTTTTTATGTATATAGCTCCAAGCCGCACAGGTCGGTAAATTAGGTATAAATTATGTATAATTATTTTGCGACGCAACACGCAATGACTCCAGAATGCATAGATTAGGTAAATGGTTGTTTTTTTATTTTGTTTTCTTATTTAATGTATAATTTTTTTTTTTTGAAGGAACTCGCGACGGCTCCAGACCGCACATGTTAAGGTACCATTTCGGAACGCGTCAGTCGCGCGTTCTCAAATTGTACCTTTAAGTAAATTACTTAAGTTTTTTACTCATTTTATGTATATTTTTTGCAAAGAAACACGTGATAGTTCTAGGCTGCACAGGTTAAGTAAATTAGTAAGTTTTTAATTTTTCTTATTTTATGTATAACTTTTTTTCGATGCAACCCACGATGGCTCCAGGTCGCACAGGTTAGGTAAACTAGTTTTAACTTTTCTTATTTAATGTATTTTTTTTCGAAGGAACTCGCGATGGCTCCGGGCCGCACAAGTTAGATAAATAAGTTAAGTTTTTTTTTTATTTTATGTAACTTTTTTTCGACGTAATCCGCAATGGCTCCAGGCAGCACAGATTAGATAAATTAGTTTTTTTAATTTTACTCATTTTATGTTTATTATTTTAAAGAAGAAACACGTGATGGTTCCAGGCTGCACAGGTTAAGTAAATTACTAAGTTTCAAATTTTTCTCATTTTATGTATAATTTGTTTCCGATAACTTCAGGTCGTACAGGTTAGGTAAATTGATTAAGTTTTTTTTGTTTTAGGTTAGATTTTACGAACTTTTTTGATAGTTATTTTTTAAATAAAGACTTTAATTTCTTTATACCTGAAGATTTTCTTTGCTCTATTTTTTTATAAATCTAAAATTAAAGAATTTTTTAATATTAATAATATTCACGTATTTTATCTTGTTACTAACAACTGAAACTATTGGCAATACTGTATGAAAATGACAAGATATTAGATTAGAAACATGAAAATATTAGGCATTCCAACGACCTGTCAAAATGCTGCCAGTGGGAACTGACAGTTTAGATATGGCAATCCTGTGGGCCTGTTGTCATTGACAGGGTCAATGTTACATATAGGCACATAGATTGCTCAAAGTGAGTCGTTTGCGAGCTGCTATATTGCCTGGCAAGTGTTGATTAATTTGATTCGGTTTAGCAAAAATGTTACCTACATTTTTACAAGACAAGCTTATGTTCATTTTTACAAAACATGATTAATCTATATCATTGATCCTGTGAAATTACCAGGCCTACAGTGTTGCCATATTATAACCTATAATGTGCGGGTTACCTACGGGCAGCCATTTTGTTTTGAATGCCTAATTGTTTTAATTAAATTTTTCTCGGAAAACTGTCGGTTTTTCGTAATTTTTTCTTTTTGAAAATTACTTTATGGAGTAAGTAATTTTTAGGGTTTAAAATTTTTTTAAAAATTATGACGTCCTAATTTTATACGACCCACGGAATCCTCAAAAAACATGATTGATTGGCCTATTTAAGCTTTGTAGTGATTATTGTATTGTAGCTAGAAAAACAAAAACAGCGGGCTCTAATATTTATTTTCCACTGTAAAAAAATACGAGACTCAAAAATAGATCTTACCTTAATTTTTTCTTCTGGAATTGCCCAATCGATCATAACGTGTTCTCCGAATAATTCTAAACCATTAAATAATCGTTTTCTAGCCTCCAAAGCGTTCTTGTGCGTATTAAAAGTTAAAATACAATTTAAACGATCCTTTTTCATATCTTTTGAACTTATAAAAAATATTTCTTGCAGTCCGTTTCCGATGATCTTGGAAAGTTCTTGGAAAACCTCTTCGGCTGTATGCTCTTTCGATATATTCGCAATTTCCAATCGGTTGTTATCAAACGACATTTTTACTACAACGGGAGTGTTTTTGACTTTCAATCCGCACAAAACCATCATTGCTCTTCTAGCTGATTCCACTTCGAAAAAATTCACATAGCAATATCCACGACAGTGGCCACTAAATTCCAGTAAAATCCTAATTTGGTATATCTGCCCCATGGGAAAAACAAACTCCAAAATATCTTGTAGAAGAACGTCGGATTCTAAATGTTTGATAAAAATTTCTGTTCCGCGTTGGTAATGATTCACTCTTTTTAAGGTTGCCATGATTTGCCCGTTTACGTGGGATATGTCGTACATCGATGAAAAATCCCCCTTACTGCAAATCATTTTGTGTAAAGTTATGTCGAAAAATGTGCCTTCTGTTGCCATCACTCGTTTTTATCTTATAGTGCAATAACTTTTTTAAGTAAAGAACGATAAACTAATAAGGTTGAGTATGTCTAAAACTACAAGATGGATGATGAGCATAATAAACGAGAAATGGGAGCTTTCAGCTTTCTCCTATCTTCTCTATTGTTCGAAAACCCCTCTCCACTAATCTTTCCGCACCCTTATGTTTACAATTGGCAAATCACGTAATAAATTTAAGATCACGTGGCGCATTCTTTGCTCCTAACTGGTTACAGCGCTTTGTTAGAGATTAGGTTAGGGGATATGGAAGGGATGGTGTTCTAGAATGTTTAATAGTGAGAAGATAAACAAGGGCAGGTTCGGCTCTAGCCGAATAATATTAATTTATTTTATAAGAAGTAAGTTGGAATCTTAACAAAACTAGTCTTTTTTATGATAAAATGTAGAAAAAAATTTATAAAGTTTACTTTATAAAAATATAATAATTTGCTTGATGATAAATTAACTATATGTAGTATTGCAAATAAGGGAAAATTACTTGAGTTTAAATTTATATTGTTTTAGTTTTTTTTTGTTTCCTTACTGAAAATACAATTCTATAGGAGGACCAATAAAAAAGGTAATCCATCCATTACTACTGTGTATCTTAGAGGTATAGGTATAGGTAATATCTTTTATTATATTACATAAACATAACTAGTGTAAAAAGTAATTTTTGGCAAGAGTTGCGTATAGGAAATAAATACTCTTTCCAACAAGTTATGTAGACCAGTAACGGATCTAGGAAAAAGTAGGCTTCGGTGCAAAACAGACTTATGGACCCATAAGTGAATAAAAAATTGCAGACATTTTTTTAACAATCCCCATGTGTCCAGAACTATACTGGGTGGGTAAAACAACGTCAAAAAATATTGTTAAGGCAAGAAAAACTAATAGAAATTAATTGCTGTACTATTTGACAACAAATAATAGGATAGTAAACTTTTTGTGCGACATGTCAACAGTCTAAGACATAAGGTTGATTTAATTTGACACATTTTATGAAATCCTTTTATTTAAAAACATTAAATGTCTCGTTATTTATTAATTTGCACAAGATAGAAAACTAAGATTTTTTGTTTTCAATAGTGATACCTACAAGAACGAATATGCTTAGTTTTTTTGATCAAACTAGATAATGGCCCACAAACAGATATTATTTTCTAATTCAAAACAGAAAATCGACTTTACAGACTATAGAGGGTGTCCCGTAAATATACCAAAAAACTTTTGGGGGGTGGCAGGAAACATTCAAATAAACATGCTTCATTTCCGAGATACAGGGTGTTAAAAGTTTAAAAAATATATTCTTAATCAAAATATTAAAAACGTTTTAACCTATTTGAATGAAATTTTTACATTTTATTAATATTTTAATAAGGTGTCTTTTGGACCTATTATTGTGCATACAAAATTTTCATAGTCATTACTTTTACGAAGCATTATTAAATTTTTAAACTTAATGGCTTACCTTTATTTTCATCTGTAGAGAGTTTATTGGGTATTGAGTTCTTTTCGATTACGGAAAAACCAGGGAGAAATTAAGCATAGGTACTTGTAGGTATTGCTATTGTAAACAAAAACAAACAAAATGGAATTAAGATTTTTTGTTTACAAAAGTGAGACCTACAAGTACTTATGCGAAAAGAGACTCCAACTAGACAAAAACACAAATTTTCAAACATATTTTTGGTCACTATAGTTTTCCCTTTCACACAAATTTTAACAAAACAAAATTCGCGAATTTTCTAATTACAACTTATAATTTTTACACGTTACACGTACACAATAAACTTACTAGAAAGGCAATAAAACGAAGAATAACAATAGGGTATTCACAGACTCGATCTGGTATCCAGTGCTGCTTACATAGCTCTTTCTATAATTTGTATAGTTTGAAATAATCGAGGATGTTGAAATAAAATACTTAGTTTTTATTTTGAAAAGAAAAAACAAATTGTTTATAATTTTTGACAATGGACAGGTATACCCTATTGTATTCGACTTAAAACACTTGAAAGCACGTCCTTATTTTTAACAAGAATAAAATATCTAGTTGTTGTATCAACATTTTATAATATTATGAAGTAAGCGTTAATTTTCTATAACCATATGGACCAAAAAGATATCATTTTATTTTCTTAAAATAAACAAACACCATGATTTGAGTCATAAAACAAAACAATTTAGATCAAAGGTTTTATTGTGCACTGTGTCATGTCATTGTGATTATTTAACCGCGTTTAGGATTTCAGATATTTTTACACACGGTTTTGTTTCCTTATTTTGTTTTAGAAAGATAACTAAAGATAGGCGATACTTTTCATAACGATATTTTCTAGATCGAAAAATCAAAAAAACAAAAAATCGAAAATCAAAAATCGAAAATGGAAAAATAAAGTGGAAAAAACAACAGTTAGTTACCTATGTTTAATAAAAACTTTCCATTCTACACTTAACTTTTATTTAATAAAGAAACCATAATGGTCGTGGACAAAGTTTAGTATTAGACTCGCAATTTATGGCCATTATTCACTCGGGTGACTACCATAAATTGCTCGTTTAATAATATACTATTTTTGAAGGCTCAAATGAAAGTATTTAAGCGTGGCACCACCAAATATTTTTGGGGTCAATCACCACTGATTCTTAATACTATGTCCTTCTTCCCCTCTTTGAAAAGGTGGCAACCCTAGAATAAATGCTATTTTTTTTAATAGCTTTATTTAAATTATATAAAACATTTTCTTTCCGTCAATCTTGAAATATAAAATTATAAACTTAAAAAATCAAAGTACGACTCTAAGTTGCCATTCCTTGAAGTGCGTCTATCTTATCATATCACAAAATAGTAGTTATGTCGCCCTACTTTATTCTATTTCGATGGTTCAAACGGTACTACCGATCAAAGAGGCACTATCGAAACTGATGTCTGCATGGCCTGCCACATGGCCTCTGTATAGTAGTCAGAATTAACACAGTAAAAGGTCTGCAATTTCCCGTTAACTTCTCATCAATAGGCCTTTAATTTTAGACATTAAAGGGAACATGGAGGTCTATTAACTGGATTTGGCCCGCTTGTCGGTTGTAGTGACCTATAAATGCTGGCCTTTTGATTATAAAAGTTAAATAGCCATCATTACAATTGGGGAGTAACAGTTATTGGGCCTTTTATTCCCTTACACAAAATGTTTGTTGGGAGGTTTGTTCATTATTCATATATGTATAAGAACATACACATGTATTAAACATATAATAATAATTACAAAAATTTAATATTATATTATATTGTTTAATATATTTGCATTAAATATTTTTTTATAAGTTTTATAAAATAAAATTAACAATTTTTTTAACTAAGAAATTACTCTTTACAACTTTTGAAGGTTATTTTCATTTTATTACATTTTTTTTAGTATTGTAGTTATATTTTTTAGACTTTGTGATATTTGTGAATAAAGTTTAGGTGCTGTAAATTGAAATTTTTGTCCAAATGATTTTGATACCTTGGCGATTTCTAATTCTGAATTTTGTTTGTATCTTGTATTGTGCAAATTATTTAAAACTTTCAAAACAATTTTAAAACCTCAGCAATAAACTTAAAGCAAGTGCAAATAAACTCAATGAAGCTCTCGATAAACTTAATAATATTCATAGTGCACTCCAGGAAGATAAATTAAAATTAGAAGACATTAACATATCACATATGCATTAGTTTTTATACAATCGTATATAATTATTTCAGCAATCATTAATGCAGCTTCCAAATTTTATATTACAAATTAATTGACCGAGAAAGAGAAGAAAAAAAATCCTCAAGATATAGACCTCAAGAATTTTCTGCTCATTTCAAACTCTGGTTTAACCGCAAAGTTCTCATCTAGGAGTTATGGAAATAATTCCGCCGAATAATTAAATATTAATGTTAACATTGCACTTTATACTAAGATTATAAATTGTCAAAACTAAAAAACCATAAGATAATTGTTAGCTTTGCTTATTAAAGGTTTCTAATAACAAAAATTTAAAAAGTATTTTTAGAAGGGCTCTCACTTAATTGGCTAGAATTTCTTTTCTTAAACCTTTTCTTTTTAGATTCTTTTTAGGACTTTCTAAGGGATAATTTCATAGTATTAAAATTTCAAACGTTGCAAAAATATTGCAATATAGCAACATTACTGGGCAATATTGAAACCCACTTTTAACTCCAATAAAAAAAAACAATTACCAATGATTCATTTAAGAAACTAAACACAAAATTTTGTTATAAAAACATTTATCAAATTTATAATTATACATTTAATAACAAATATGTAAAAATTGTTAAAAATAATGGATGCAAGAAACATGTATATTTTTTTTATTGTAGTAATAGTGATTGAGAAATCTTTTGATGAAAGGCTTTATTATACCAATTATACACTTAACAAGTCAAAAATATATTACGTCATGTTGAATTTAAATAACAACCTCTTTTAGTATTGTAGTTATATTTTTTAGACTTTGTGATATTTGTGAATAAAGTTTAGGTGCTGTAAATTGAAATTTTTGTCCAAATGATTTTGATACCTTGGCGATTTCTAATTCTGAATTTTGTTTGTATCTTGTATTGTGCATATTAATTAAAATATGTTTTGATTTATTTTTATGTTGCAAGAACAAGATTTTAAAACAATGGAGTATACAAGTCTGTTAAACCTACATGCCCTGTTAGTAGGCTTATTATATTCTAGTGACGCATGGGAAGTTTTAACGATGAGCCTTGTCACATTTACCTAAGCTCCAGTGACTTGGCATTGTAAATACCTGCCTTCGTTATTTTTGAGCCATTTCTATACCAGTTGGCACATAGAAAACAAATTTCTTTCACCAAATTGTCAGACATAAAATAAGATTAAATATATATTGTAATTTAATAGAACAGGCAAAAATAACACAAATAATTTTACAATATGCAATTTATTATTTAAAATCAACACAACCACACAAAAAAAATATCAAAACAAAAAATATATTAAAATAATGCATAAAATAAAAATCATTATAAAAAGAAAAAATGTATTCTGAGAAACATTACTAGGAGGTATGAGGTACAAAAACTGTCAAAATACTTTGGCATGCAACAAAAATATTACAAAATGTATTTTTTAAATACATTTACTGGTAATTATCTAATTATATCTTTACATTGATTTTATAAAATAAGCAAAAAAAACAATGGAAAATGTGCAGTTAAAAAAAATTATGATGTATAAATAGTGAAATGAAAAATATTGATGCTAAGGGTAGCCAAATTATAAGGGTATAGTAAATATTATGTCACAGGATTTGATAAAATTCAATTACAATTATAAAAATATGATGCATTTCATTAATTATCTGTCAAAAACAAAAAATATATAATTTTAGATGTTTTTTATAAAATTAAAGTAAAGATAGTCTGTCCTTGATTATTCGTTATCGGCGTCAATGATTTATGTCAGTCAATTTGCAAAATTTGCAGGTAAACATGTCTTCCTGCTCCTTAAAAAAAAGAAAAAATAATATTTTATTAAAACAGACCCAAGAAAGTTTTTTATTGTTATTTTGACTTAATACGAAAATTTAAAGACACATAAACTACCAATAAACTCTTCAACTACATAACAATACTAATAAAAAAATGTCCGAAATATTGTTTACAGGTCATCAGAAAGTAGTTTAAAGGTATTTATAACAAAATTATTTATGTGTAAATGACTAGAATCTTGAAAATAATAAAAATATAAATGAATATCTTTAACTTTTATTTTTATAAGTCTACTGTTACTATCATTGGAGCAGTTGGAAAGGCTTTCCGCAGTTCTGCCACTTCATACACAGGAATGTGCCACAGAGCTAACCGAAGTGAACGCGATACATAGTTACGTAGAAAATTATTTTACAGATGCTAAAAACAATTTCGCTTAATGCATGTATATAAATAAAATAAAAATTGTTTTAATATAGCCCATAAATACATACAATTGCCCGGTATCGCTGGTAACATATGATACCACACTGGCAGATAAATATTACCGCAAAATTTTCGAAATTATCGGGACAGGGGTTTGACCTTTACCACCTCTCCAACTACCAAAAGCCTTTTCAACTTCTGTCCCTGCTTTATTTACCACCTTAATATAAGAAAAACTCACATCTGCTTTATTATTTGGAAATATATTGGACATAAGCCTTTGGTACTCTCTTGTAGGATCCACCAGTATATTCCAGTTTTGAGCCTCCTCCAAACCTGGATTGGTATAATAACTATTTTGGTTTAAATTTTGCAGTTCAAAATTAGGCGACGGGTTCAAATTGAGATTCTCAAACCGAGAAATTTGATTCAGACGGTTGATCTCGTAAGTTGACGAAGACCCCATCACATCATTCATGTTCAATAAACCTCTTGGATTCAACGGTGAATTCGGAGTTGAACTTCTGCTTGATGGAGTTGAACAGAACTCGGCATAACAAGGAACTGGACTTGGTAATTTCCAGGGCGATCTGTGTGATGTTTGTCCGTCGGTGCTGTAACAAAGATTTGAGTAGATATTTGATCAGGCAGTAAAGAAATGTAATGCTGAAGTAAAGAAAAGCCTTTTAAATTTTAACCTTAACGTACACCTGACTATCTCTCTTCTTGTCAAGTAAAGAAATAATACAAATGGTAATATAGAGTAACACATTTAATACGATATTTTTTCCCTTCAGGAACATTTAGAATTTTTAAAAACCGTTTTTGACAACATAAATTAAAAGTTCTGCTAGATAAATTAGAATTCCTTCAAAAATCAGTGATGTACCTATTTAGGACATGTATTTACCCCCTCTGAAGTTAAACCAAATCCTGATAAAATTTTGACTATTAAAAATTTTCCCAATATTAAAAATGTCTTAGGTTATTATCGATGCTTTATTGGTGACTTTGCTAAAATTACAAAACCATTAACAAAATATTTTTAAAATTGCGCTCATATAATAAAAAATTTATAGACTATTTACAAACATGTAAAGACATTTTGACAAACGACCCCATTTTGCAAAACTTTAATAAGCCCTTTATACTAACATTGCTATAGGTGCAGTTTTGTCGCAAGGGCAATATACCTATTGCTTAAGCTTCTAGAACCCTAAAATTAATTGACTATTGAAAAAGAACTACTTGCAATTATTTGGAGTTGTAAACATTTCAGACCTTATTTGTATAGGAGATCTTTTTATATATACAGTGACCATAAATGTGGTTATTTAGTTCAAAAGAACCTAACTCTAAATTAGTCAGATGGATGCTCAAATTAGAGGAGTACGGCTATAAAATAATTTACAAAAAAGGCAAAAATAATACAAATGCAGATTGCTTATCCGATATATCACTTAACGCACTAGAAAACGAATTAATAGTTAATAATAACGGAGATGCAGCTAATGATATTTTCCAATTTAGCTAAAAATGTTCACACAACCTTCCACAAATAAAACGAATGAATCCAAAATTGATATAATTTCTAATGTAAAAATTCCTCCTTTCTACAATTGAATAACACTTTTTTTGTAGGAAACATTGTTTTTGTAAACTGTTCACTTCCATAAAAAAAATGATGTAATGTTTCAATACAAACTCATCTACGTTTTCATTGTTAAAATATTATCATTTTAAACAAAAATTTCGGCCTTACAAAATTTTTGCTTGCAACGTTGCTCGGCGAAGCTATTATAATGATACACGAAACGAATTAAATATCCCTGAACCTAACTGAACAGATGACACAGAAGAAGCTAACGATTCCACAGCAATCGAAACTACAAATAACGGCATACTTATCTCAGATGAAATCATAAATAATTATCCAAATCATTATCAAAAAACCGATATCAAGAAACTTATGAAAACCATAAAATTGTAAAAATTAAAATTCGAGAAACCGACAATGCAAAATTTATATTTCAATTTCTAAATGAATTCATTGATTTAAAAAGTACATTTTACCTTAATTTTAATAGAGAAAACTTATAAAGATTTATTTTATTTTTGGAAAATGGATCAAAGTTAGTTAAATGCACAAGATTACTTAACAACATTTCTGATAAAAAAGAACAAATTCTTTTGCTTAGAAATTACCACGAAGGAAAAACATAGCGCAGAGATTTTAATGAAACTTTATAAAAATTATGTCAAAATTATTATTGGAAAAATATGAAAATATCTATCACAAATTACAATAACGCATGTTCTATTTGTCAAAAAAATAAATATGGCAGACAAAACCCATATGTTCCGGTAATGCACTGATAAAATATTTCATTTTACTTGGCATTCCTCAATTAATTGTAGTAGATAATGGCACTGAATTTAATAACGAGACAGTAAAAAATCTGTAAGCATTACACAAAATTAAAGTTCATTTTACAATTCCTGGTCACCATGAATCTAACTCTATAGCTGAACGAATACATTCCACTTAATTGAACACTTAATTTTCCTTCCTTACGATTTTTAAACAGATTACGTTAATATCAACAAAGAAAAATTGGAACACGTTCACAAGGATGTGCATAAAAACTTAAATAACAAAAAATGAAATCAATGAAAAACAAAAAGAAACGAGAAAGGTGAAATCATCCGGAATTTCAAGTTAACTAAACCTTCTATAAAGTAAATCCAAAAAAGATAACGAGATTTCAAAATTACCCAAATTATCGCGTAGAAATTTCCAGAGAAACATTGAAACAAAAAATTAGCCTTCTGTTGCAGAATGCTCTTCTGGACCAGATAGGCAAGACTAGACATATCTCAATTTCATAACTTAAAAGACTAAATCATAAGCTTTAGTAAAAATAATAAAATTGTGTTTCTAGAAATACCCATAGTCGAGCATTCATAATAATTATAATTACTATCACTTGTACTCTCTATCTATATATTCCATAGAATCCTTTAAAACTATTATTCCTCAATCCAAATTTCTTCTTTCAAATGTACACCAATATGCACTTTCAAACTTGGGATGCAAAGAAGTTACTCGAGATGGATTCCTCTGGCAAGATGGCCAAAACTTAAAAATATCTCTGAATTCCCCCTGTGAGGTTCAAGGTGTTGAAATATTCTAAATTTATCAATAAATGTCGACAACTTTCAGTAGATGTCAGCGAAATAAAAAAGTTAGAAAAGAACCAAAGGATGGTTATCAATCACACCCCATAGTATGGTTACAAACCAAAAATGGTAAAAATGTGGTAAAAATGTGGTAAAAATGTGGTAAAAATGTAGACAATATCCTTATAAATGGTAGTTATTTAATGGAACTTAATAATTTGTGTGAAGTGATTATAGACAGTTTTTCTCTAAAAACAGTTGAAACCAAAATTCCGAATTTTAAAAACTGCCAAATTTAAAAACTTTCAAAACAATTTTAAAACCTCAGCAATAAACTTAAAGCCAGTGCAAATAAACTCAATGAAGCTCTCGATAAACTTAATAATATTCATAGTGCACTCCAGGAAGATAAATTAAAATTAGAAGACATTAACATATCACATATGCATTAGTTTTTATACAATCGTATATAATTATTTCAGCAATCATTAATGCAGCTTCCAAATTTTATATTACAAATTAATTGACCGAGAAAGAGAAGAAAAAAAATCCTCAAGATATAGACCTCAAGAATTTTCTGCTCATTTCAAACTCTGGTTTAACCGCAAAGTTCTCATCTAGGAGTTATGGAAATAATTCCGCCGAATAATTAAATATTAATGTTAACATTGCACTTTATACTAAGATTATAAATTGTCAAAACTAAAAAACCATAAGATAATTGTTAGCTTTGCTTATTAAAGGTTTCTAATAACAAAAATTTAAAAAGTATTTTTAGAAGGGCTCTCACTTAATTGGCTAGAATTTCTTTTCTTAAACCTTTTCTTTTTAGATTCTTTTTAGGACTTTCTAAGGGATAATTTCATAGTATTAAAATTTCAAACGTTGCAAAAATATTGCAATATAGCAACATTACTGGGCAATATTGAAACCCACTTTTAACTCCAATAAAAAAAAACAATTACCAATGATTCATTTAAGAAACTAAACACAAAATTTTGTTATAAAAACATTTATCAAATTTATAATTATACATTTAATAACAAATATGTAAAAATTGTTAAAAATAATGGATGCAAGAAACATGTATATTTTTTTTATTGTAGTAATAGTGATTGAGAAATCTTTTGATGAAAGGCTTTATTATACCAATTATACACTTAACAAGTCAAAAATATATTACGTCATGTTGAATTTAAATAACAACCTCTAAAACAAAACATTAAAAATTACTGAAGAACATCATTCAATTTGTCGCCGAAAGTTCTGGTATCACAAATAAAGTCTGAAGTTTTAATTTATAAACCGTATCCCTAATAAAGTTCTAAAAGTCCGCATAAGTTGGATACCCTAAAATATGATGATTTGGCGCATTTTCGCTCTATACCTCGTACCCCTAAGGAGTTACGTTACGTGGGGCAAAATTTAATTAATTTTTTTTATTATGTAGATATTATTATTGTTATGATTAGTTTTAATTATTGTGTTCTCATTTAAATCGACTTTATCAAAAGCAATTTGCTACTTGTTAAATTTAATTGAAAAATGCATGGCCAATTAAAGTTTTAAATGATTTTTGTATTAACATTGATTTAATTTTTTTCGTTTTCCTCGAAAAATATTAAGTTTATTAAAAGTTTTAAAATAAAATTTTGCATAAATGAAATTAAAATTTTAAAAATCTGCCGATGTACAAAAAACGTCTTTATAGTTATAAGGGTGGGTTACCGCAAAACCACCACTTAAAATATTTTGATTAACTCTTCCTCGCCCCCAAATTAAGATTCATGAAGCGCCTAAATAATTTACCAAATCGTCGCCCTAATAAGAAAAGTGTCTAATTCCTGATTTTCGCAAAAATGGGATGTTGTAACCATCTATTAGAATAACGCATAAGCCACCTTTCTGACCAAACTTCAGAGTGTCAACTTAACCAGTTAATTTTAAATTGAAATAATATAAACTTTCTTAACGCCGACTTGACAATTGCCAAAAAGAAATGCCTAGCTCCAAACTTTTGTTTAAAAACGTAACGCATAGGAATGTTTTTTTTGTGTTACATTCAAAGTTATATGTGTTAGATGTGAAGAAGAACAAGTAGTAATGAAATAATTGTTAAAAACTGACGTTTTTCTTCTCTCCTGTAAAATTTTCCAAAACGGAGATAGGCATATTTTTCTTACAAGGGCGACGAAATATAGATTTTTTTTTAGTCAAACGGTTGCAGATATTAAATTTTTTAAAATGTGTGGCCCCACTTTAGCTTCCGTAACTCCTTAAAGGTACAACTTGGTATAAGAGGTAAATTGTGTTAAATCATCATATGTATTAGTGAATCATTGATAAAACTTTTTTAAAAACAATGCTCTAGAATCTAGATGGAACGTAGAATCGAAAAATTTTTATTTGAGGGTGACTCACCTGCGAATTACTTTGTGGCAATAACGTATATTTCGCAGGTGAGTCATCTTCAAATAAAAATTGTTATACTTTAGACTTTCGAAGTTTTGCAGGACCAAGTACCGGTGATAAAAGAATGTAAAATAAAAAAATTCAATGTCCAAAACATTGACTTTTAAAAGTAAACCGGCAATTTTAATTTTTTTAAATGTTTCATACATACCCTTTTACAATGTCTCCATCAGAAGGGGAAAGTTCATTACTTGAACTAGTGGGAGTGGTACTTGAACTGCTGCTTCCTGGAGATTCCTGCATTAAAAAAAAAAAAAAAAAAATAGGGTGGATCGATTTTTTACAGCCTTGAATAACATTAAATGAAATTAGTCGTAAAATAAATAAGTTTATTATTTCATTTTTAATTCTGTACCTCGGAGGTAAACTGCACTGTGATTAGTCAGCAGATTAAATGTTGTTTGAACATATTTTGGGCTCCATAATTACATATTACTATATTTTGACAGGAAATGCAGTTAGGTACCCAATTATTCACAATAGTTATGTATTCTTTACTAAACTAACTAATAAAACTTTATGGCACATTTCTATGTTCTGATGAGCTAATAACACTATGTGCACATGGCGTTATTTACCTCGTAAGTTTATTAAACATAGCGTTATATTTTTTGGCTAACTTTTATTGTGACGTTCCTGATACATGGTGTATTATATCCTTGGAAAGATCTTGATGAGCTGAATAAAATTTTCATAAAACTGAACTATGTCGACATATGTGCAGTTTACCTCCAAGGTACAGAATATATATGGAGTACAGGCATCGCAACTTAATTTGTCTGAAGAGGGGATGCGCGTTAATCTCGAATTTCAATTGTCAACGCCTACTGTAACTGTTAAAGAGAGATGCAAACAATAGCCGTGTTGTCGGGGGGTTATCAGTAGATGATAATATTTTCTTAAAATTGTTTGTGTATCGTGCAGATTTTGAGTTATATTTTATTTTTATTTGTGTGTAGTGTTTTCTTTTGAGTAGTGACTTATTTGTGTTAAAATTCCGAAACATTTAGGTAGTCAAGCAAAGGAAATAATATTTCATCTATTCGAATATTTTATAAAAAAAAAATGTTCCTCGGCAACAAATAGTTTTGAAGAAGAAAAAAAAAACAACGATGATAGTGAAACTTATAGACAATGTGTTGTGAACGATGATCCCAAAACTTTCACTGAAATTAAAGAACAAGTTGCTGAAGCTACAGGATACTCGGTAAAAACAATTGAACGAATAATTATAGAAGGTGAGATATCAAAAGGTGAAAAGCCTACGTTGACCATACCTAAACAATTATTTAAAAGTCCAAAAAAGCGCAAAAGAACATCAAAACAGAAGGTATGCGCGTAACAGTCAAAACTCTTAGTGAAAAATTAAAAAAGGAAATTGAGTGGAAAGGGAGCTACACATCATAAGAACTATTTAAAAAAAAAAATTGGGTTCAAGTGGCGAAAAACCGCGAAGCAACAGACAGGTTCGAGAACGGCTTGACATCAGGGAAAAAAGAATAGATTATATTAAAAAAAATTAAGATATTTTCGTTCTCAAAACCGTTCCATTGTATATATTTATGAAACTTATATACATAGTAACCATACATCATCACATAATTGGGGTGATGATAATGCAAAAGGTTTGTTTTCCACCACTTCGAAAGAAAAGAGACTTATTATAGTTTATGCTGGTGGTAACATGGGCTTTATTCCTAACAGTTTATTAATGTTTGTGTCTGTGGCCGGTGATTATCATAATGATATGAATCAAGAAAATTATGAAAAGTGGCTAAGAGAACTGTTAATACCAAATTTACCACCAAATGCTATTGCAATTGTGTAATATACCGTATCACAATGTTATAGAAAATCCTGATCCGAATTCAAATTCAAGAAAAGCTGAAATGATAAACTGGTTGACATCCAACAATATTGAAATTCAACCTTCCTTATTACGACCACAGCTGTACACATTAATCAAACAGCATAAAAATAGATTCAAGCAATACATATTTGATAAATTATTCTCCGAACACGGTCATACAGTTTTGAGATTACCACCATACAACCCAGACCTAAATCCAAGAGAAATGATCTGGGCTGTAGTAGAAAATAATGTAGCTATAAAGAATATTCATTTTAAATTAACACATGTACAAATGTAGCTGAAATTGAATTTAAATCAGCAACCCAAGAAGACTGGAAAAAAAGATGTGCACATGTAATAGCTGTCGAAGATAAATATTCCTACAGTTATTATTAATGTTAATGACGACAGCAGTGATAGTTCTAGTGATAGTGATGATTTTGATGACGATTTTTTATAACTCTGTTAATTTGTTTATGTTTATTTTGTTTGATAGTAGTTATAGCAACAAATTTAATGACCACAAACCTACGTAACTTTTATCTAATTTAATCAACTTTCTATCTGTTGCGGTTTAAGAAATAACAATACAGTCCCTATGAAATAGTAGGGACCCTGTATATTGCTAATTTTAAAAATATATAGGGGCATATTTACCAGAAAGTCGTAGGATCCCGTTGAACTGTAGCGATAGCGGTCTAAGGATCGTCTTTCTTGTAAACTTTGCGGCGATGGAATGAATTTTCGTGAACTTTCCGATTCAAAAATACTGCTTTCTTCGTTGAGTGATCGATTGGAAGAGGTCGACGTGGTTCTGTAACGGCTTTTTGTTAAATTTCTACTGTAAAAACATATTTTTGTTACATGAGCCTCAAGCGACACACGATATTGATCAAAATTATAAAGGGTGAAACAAAAATATAGGTTGTAAATGATAAGTTGTAGCCTTTGGTAGTTAAAAATTGAAAATTTATTTTTTATAATAATTTTTAAACTATTTTTCATGGTTGTCCTATAATAAGAACAATTTTGCACCAAAAAATTACAAAAACAATTTTGTGAGGGCTTATGATCCCCTAAGCAACCAAACATTTTTATATTTCAGAAATAGATTACTTTTGTGCCATCATTAGTTTAACACATTCATTTTGAATTTTTATTAGTCAAATTACAAATTTTTTCAATATGTAGTCACAAAAAATTGATATATTTCCTATTTAAAAATCATGTTCCCTTTATATTAAAAATCAATCTGTTCAACATTTTTTTAATTCTAACTATCGGGCCGGACTTTGTTCAGTAGCCCACATAGTGAAATGTGACATATTTTCATATCAAAGCCCAAAAGACCACCAAATTATAAAAGAATAAATAAATAAATAAAATACTTACACTTGAAATTGTCTATAATCTGGTGATGTATATTTAGATGTGGGTTTGGCCCATTCCACTTCAACGGGCGTATTTTTAAAATATCCTAAAACAATAGTTATCGAGTCATTAAAAACAATAATGATTAATTAATATGTCATTGTTAAAATATTTTACTAAAAAATAAAAATGAAAAAAATACCTAAACAACAAAGAATAGAAGTCAAAGAACTAATAAAAACAGCAAAGTCATGGCAAGGGTTTGGAGAAGCAAAGGAAACTTAAAAAATGTGTTTGGGAGCACTAAAAAATCTATATTAAATCAAAAAAAGGATAAATAGAAGAATATTTTAAGGAATTAGTCAATGTAAATAATGGATACATTAAAGAAAATGGAGAAGGAGAATGAAATACACAGCACAGAAAAGCATGAGACTACAAGAGGCAAAGCAGCAAGAAACTATGGAATAACAACAGAGATAGTGAAAAACAAGGGTGAAAATGGGATAGACATTTTAAAAATATTTACTAAGATGGGATTAAAAAACTAACTGAAGACTGGGAAGTGGGAATATTATTATCTTGTTATAAAAAAGACAATAGAGAATGCAAATACAGATGAATTAGATAAGTACCATGCTAAATATAAATATATAAATACTGAAATTCAAATCATAGCGGATTTAGAAAAAGGGGTCCAAGATAATATATTTACCTTGAAACAACTGATAGAAAAGAACATAGACTACTATACAGGGTGTCCCGAAATTAGACGGTCATATTTTAACAGCGTAATCTACATCCCAAAATAAGAATAAAAGTTCATATAAACATAGGTCCGAAAACGTTTCGTTTTCGAGATACAGGGTGTTACAAGTGAAGTCCTGATAGCACATTTTTGTAAATATTTTCTAAAATTTTTTTAGTCACCGGTTTTCCAAAGTAAAAAAAATAAAATTTTTGATTTCACAGGCCTACTAATTATTGTTTACACTTTCGAATGACTTATCATAAAATTTTAAAATGCTTTTTTCTTGAAAATGGTGCGTCCTAGCGAGATGCAACAAAAGTAGCTTTATTATAAAGAAAACATTGGTTTTCCAAATTTTATAGTCAAAAATGTTAAAAACTGTCAACAAAAAAAAAACTTAGGGCAATTTTACCCTAAGCTCCCCCCTAATTTACCCACTTATGAAGATGATCAAAAACTGGGGTTTAGTTCGTTAAATAGAGCGTAAAAAGGTAAGCATTTGTACCAAATTTCACTTAGTTATCTTTAAACGTTTAGAAAATATTTACAAAAGAGTGTCATCAGGACTTCACATTTAACACCCTGTATCTCGGAAAAGAAACGTTTTCGGACCTATGTTTATATAAACTTTTACTCCTATTTTAGGATGTAGATTATGCTGTTAAAATATGACCGTCTAATTTCGGGACACCCTGTATATAGTTTTATAGATATCGAGAGAGATTTTAACTGCTTAACACGAGATCTGAAATGGAAAAGGTTTAGACAAAGGAATAAACAGTGAACTGAGAAATGCAATTGCAGCACATAAACTAAAATGAAGACATAATAGGCTTGGCATTCTATATTATACTCTTCACAGTTTAACAGATCTAAAACCCCTATTTTCAATCCGAATCAATTGACTTCGTCCCCTTATAAAGCTTTATTTTTCCTGAAGAGTTCAAATTGGTATCGTTTTTTGTTTCTGAAATAAGATATTTTTAATATGTATGTAGATTTTTTTTAAATCAAAGGACTTTTCCCTTATCTTAATTTTTTGCTAAAAATGTCAAGTTAATATCCTTTTTCGTTTTTGAGTTACGATTTTTTTATTATTTCAAGCCCCGTTAACCCCTCATTTTGTTCAATTTTTCTTTATAGGGCTAGATTTTTGTTTAAAAAATTCAAGTTTACATTACTTTTGGTTTTGAGTTAGAATTTTTTTAATATTTCAACTCTCCTTATCCCCCCATTTTTATTAAGATTGTTTTTCAGAATCAATAGGTTTGATTTCCTTATGAAGCTTGATTTTTACTAAAAATTTCATGTTGATATCGCTTTTCATTTTTGATTTGTTTTTTTTTTTTAATTGCAACCCCTCCTAAACCCCTAATTTTTAATTAGATTTTTTTTATAAATCGAAAAACCTTTTCACCTTATAGAGCTTAAGTTTTGCTAAATATTTCAAGTTTATACCATTTTTTTGTTGAGTTAGTTTTATATATTTCAAGTCCGCTTAACCCCCATTTTTAATTAGATTTTTCAAAATCAATAGGCTCCGTCTCCTTAAAGAGCTTGACTTGACAATAATATGCAGTCAGAACAAAGAATAAACAAAATGTGTATACAGTATCGACTATCGAACACTTTCCAATACATTTTGCACAAGTGCGTGTGAAAACTACAGCGAGTTAGCAATAAATCGAACAGGAAACGAATAATATCAGCGATGCCAGTTTGTAGAGCCCTGTTAAACTTACAACGCAGCCGTATAAACTGGAAAGGCTGATATTTTTCCTGCTCACATGCACTTGTGCAAAGTGTATCAGAAAAAATTCAGTGACCGACACTGTATAATACATCTATGCAAAATAAAAGTATTATAGACATAATTATTGCTAAGGAAGTAATTTCTATCAAGTACTGGTATTTCAGCCATAACAAATAAAAAATACAAGTGGAAAATGTTCATATAGAGTTGTGTCATATTACTAAAGGATTCCGCACTTTTTACATTGATTTTGGGTACGTACTGTCAGGAATTGTTCAAATTTAAGTCATGGCCCCCTCCCCCTTGATTTGTGATTTTTTGCCCTGGAAATTTTTTGAACGGTGTCCATGTTTTGCATGTTATTTTTCACGTCAACAAAATCAACTTTCTTATGGATCTCTACAAGTTGAGCTATTAGAATAAGTCGAAGTAAGTAAGTATATTATTATTATTTTCATATACATATATCTCTACCACTCTTAAGTAATTTTTGTTTTTCTCATAAAACTTATTTCATGTATCTCATATATAGTAAATTCATGCTTACTTGCACTTTGCATACAGTGTGTTAAATACGGTGAATTTTGATGTATTACCCTAGTTGGAACATCACTTTTGTTATTTTAAATACAAGGTAATATTGATTAAGATTTAAGACTTCCCATTAAATTATAAATCAATATAAACGAAACTATTTCTTTTTAAACCCTCTCAGGTCTCCCTTTGCTCCCCCTTAAGGGTTCCGGAAGAACCCTCCCAATGAGACTATTTTATTACATACGGTGAGCACCATAAGTCTTACCTCCCCTATCTAACTCGTTACTGGAGTCTTGTTAGGAAAATCGCCGACACACGTCGATTTTTGATTTCTACAATGTACATTTTTATGTGAATAGTTTACCCTTAATTTCGTCCCTTACTAAAGGGGAGCAACCCTTTCGAAAAATTTAAATGGCATGGGGTGGTGAGTGATAGCTCATTTGAAAGAGGGTTTTATTCTCTATTCAACCGTGTAAAAAATTTTGAAATTTGCTTCGTTAATTCTCAACTAATTTATTGTTTCAGAATAACGGAAATTAACGTAGCGCACTCATCCTTAGAATTAAAATTCGGCCCTGCATGATATCGGTTTTGGTTCAGACGTGAAGTAAGACTGTTTGCCATTAGAAAGTCACTATTAGTTTAGTTGCTTTCTTATTTTGTGATGTTTTGTTATTTTTAAACATTAATAAATCAACACGTAATGACGCAAATTTCAAAATTTTTTGCACGGTTGAATAGAGAATAGAACCCCCTTTCAAATGAGCTATCACTCACCACCCCTTGCCATTTAAATTTTTCGAAAGGGTTGCTCCCCTCCAGTAAGGGATGAAATTAAGGGTAAACTAATCATACATAAATGTACATTGTAAAAATCAAAAATCGACCTGTCTCGGCGATTTTCCTAACAAGACTCCAGTAACGAGTTAGTTAGGGGGGGGTAAGACTTATGATGCTCACTGTAGAGTAACTATTTATAAACCAATAAGCTTTACCCATCATTAAAACCTGACTATCTTTCAGCAGCATATAGAATAGTCACTTCATAAAACACTTGAAGCTTTTTTTATTTTCTCGCAGGTACCACAAAATACTTGAAATATGAGCACACGTGTATCAGTCTTACATTTACCTCAAAAATAAAAACCTAATCTTGCTTCAAAAGTACATCTGTGTTTTCTTCATCTGAATAACATCGAACCATTATTCTAAAAATTACTGAAGCCAACAACTATTCTCCATAAGAATAATATTCTGTCACAAAATATGTCAATGTAATTGTTTTATAGTTTGTTTGCAAAAAAACAAAGGCACATAAAGTTTTTTTTTTAATTAAATATCTACTAATCAAATAATTTTTAATAAACTTTTAATTATAATATATCTTCTGAATCATTAATTCAAATGGGAGTTAGCAGAATTATTTAGACATTCAAGTAGGTGTAGAAGGACAAATTGTTTTAATTTCAAGACTCTACAATATTTCAGATATACAAGTTTTTCATTAAATGCGATTTTATATTTATTAGTTGTTTACGTAGCTCTATCACACCCTGTATTTATCTAGTATTTAATACTACAAAAAAGTGATCAGAAGTGATACTATGGCAATACATAAAAATACACCTTTTCAGCAACTGATATTTCTAATTTTTTGATCACTTTGTATGATTTATTTTGTGCAACTATTATATAAGTGTAACACATGACAAATTTCATGGAAAAACATGAATTATTTAAAAATGAAAGAGGTATGTATGAAAATTCTGCTTTTCTTACTTTTGACTCTTTCTAACAGCTCATCCTGTAGAGCTACAAACTTAGGGACCATAATAAAGTTGCCTTTAATGACCTAAAAATAACCTAGTAAAATTTAAACAAAATCTGATAGTACCCAAAATCAATATAAAAAGTGTCAATTCCTTTTACTGAAAAATGTGTATCATTCAAGTATCAGAATTTAAAATAAATAAAAATGGTTTGTATTAATTTACCTTTCAGGGTGTCCTTCAGTCCCTCAGCCAGTTCTCTAGTCTTCACATGAATAAACGCATAATTTTTAAATTTGTAGACTTTTTGAATATTCTCTCTACGGATATACCTCCAGATCAAATGTTCCACTTCTTGAGGCGTCATAGTCACGTCAAGGTTTCTTAAGTACAAAATTTTTACCTAAAAACGATAAATATTTCATTAAATTTATGCAATAAGAACTATTTTTATTTGGTATATCGATTAAAAAAATTAAAATCATTCTTATGTATTTTCATGAAGGACTTTTCAATTACCTCTTTTAAGATGGAATCCTCAACTTCTGGAATCGGTATTGACCAGTCAACGATGATTGGAAAACCCCATAATTTTAGAGCGTTATGGTATTTGGCTCTGAAGTGGGCGGCTTGTTCGTGAGTTTGAAATTCTATGAACACGAATCCTCTGTTTTCAGACCGTTCAGTATAGCTCCTAAAAAGATACAAAAAATAAAAACTATACTTATTTATTTACAAAACATTAGATGGCTATAGCTCTAAAGATTGAACTTTGTTTTTTTTTTTTTAATCAAAAACAATTTGTGCACAATGGAGGGAGAATCATTTAATAGTCCCTCAATTTAAAGGTCTTTGTACACTGGGTACAAAACAATATTTGTATTGAAACATATTTATTATTTGAACAGTTATAGTATGTTAAAAATTAAATAGAAACTGTTGTTTACAGCTCTCACAGTTCATTAATAAAACCTTGTTTTGGCCTCAGGAAAAAAACAAAGATATTAAAAAGAGGAAAAAAAAACACCGTCAATTATAAATTCATAACCCTGGTGGGAATACAAAAGAAAAAACTACTAGAAAATGAACGACAGGAAAGGGAAAAGCTCAACAGAAAAATTCAAAGGGAATAAAAAAGAGAAAGTAAAAATAAATCATAAGAAAATAAAAATCTGAAGAAACTAGAATTATACGAGTCCAGTGAAGATGATGAAGATGTGAAATATGCAGAATCAGATGATTCAACCTGGAATATTAAAGAAGATAAAGAAGGAGAGCAAGATATAGAAAAAGTGAAGCGTCCAAAAGACATTAAAAAATGGTGATTTTGTATTGGTTAATTTTGTAGGAGGCAAATGAAATGCTCAGAAGTTTACATATATGTATTGTACAGGAGATTGTTTGGGAGGTATTATGGCTTTAAATTGAATTGACACAATCAAGAAAACATTCATTGCAAATGGAAAGTATTTTCGTCAGATTTTAGGAATACTAGTAGTGGATTTTATTGTAGAACGTTTAAGATATGTATTTAAAAGTTCTGTAATAAGTGAAAAATAAAATTGTTATCATCATTTTATATGTTTATACTGTCTATATAGAACATATAAAATAGGAATATGTTTGTTAAACAATGTTTACTGATAAATTTTATTTTTATTAAAAATTTTCCCTCTATTTAATTATTGTCATCCATTGGTAACATTTCCTACAATGTCAACTATTGGAACATTTGACATATCAGGCAGTTGTTCTTATACAGGGTGTCTGTAAAAGGTCTTTACAAAAACATACCATATATTCCTTAGACCAAAATAAGTCGATTTAAGTAAAATTGCTTCGTTTGGGCTCCAGAGGGCCTTGATGTTACAATTTTTAAATCGTTTTTCCCATATAAATTTAAAACGGCATATGCGATTTTGCTGAAATTTGGTATATTGGTAGAGTTTTATGTGGCAAAAAAATGGTATTAAAATTTTGTCCGATAATAATACATAGGCGTAGAACTTGATTTTTTAAATAATTGCACCTTTAAAAATTCTACGCCAATGGAAGAAAAGGAGTTTGAGTATGAAATTTAGATTGCGCAACTCATTTACTGTAAAAAAGGTACTCTTGATAAGACTCGATTACTCATGGTTTTCGCCAAATTTCTGTTTTAATAATTTAGAGTGTATAGGTTTTACAAAAATATTTATTTACAACATAATCAAAATAGAGATTTTACAAAAATTGTTCAAAATGTTCACTATTTTCACGCATACAAAGATTTATACGTCGAAGAAAATTAAAATGTATCCTTTCCATAACTCCTTCATCACCTCTAAGATTGTTTATTGCATCTTGAATACGTTGCCAGAGTTGTTCCTCATTTTCTACAGGTTCCCTGTAAACTGTGGATTTTAGATGTCCCCATAAAAAGTAATCCATCGGTGTTAGGTCTGGGAAACGTGGTGGCCAGTTTACAGGTGCGTCATTACCTCTGCCTATCCATTTGTGTGGATATTATTCATTCAAGTGGTTTCTAACGTTTAAAGAAAAATGTGGTGGAGCTCCATCTTGCATAAACCACATATCTCTCCGAAGTTGGAGAGGTAAATCTTCTAACAATTCTGGCAACGTATTTTGAAGCAAATCCAAATAATTTTCTCCAGTTAATCTTCGTGGAAGTATGACAGGACCAACAATGAAATTACCAATTATTCCAGCCCACACATTAATTTTGAATTCGTGCTGAGCATGGTTTACCTTTATTGCATGCGGATTTTCAACGGCATAAACATGTTCATTATGGGTATTAGTTATACTTCTTCTTGTAAAACCCGCTTCATCGGTAAAGAGAACCTTCTTGACAAAGTTTGGATCTCTTTATCTTTGTATATTAACAAATCGACAAAAACCCAAACGAATTTGAGGATCATGGACTAATAATTCTTGTACTGGCTTCTTATGGTATGGATATAACAATTGTTCTCTAAGCACTTTATGAACGACATCTTTACTTACTCCTAGTTCCCTTCCAATTCGTCTGGTGCTTAATTCTGGATCTTCTTCAACACGTTCTAAAATGCCTTCTTCAACTTCAGGAATCCTTTCAAAACGTTCTCTTCCATTATCAACAGTTTTGGGAGCAAAGGAACTGGTCTCCCGAAGACGTCTCTCAACAGCAGCAAAAGTTGGGTGGCTAGGTACACGACGATTTGGAAACCTTTCAGAGTACACCCTGACACTCTCTCGAGCATTTTCTTCACAAAATCCTAATGTCAGTAACATATCGGTATATTCTGCATTGGTATATTGTACAGCCATATTAAAAAACTACGCATTTGTTTTTTTTAATTATTGAGTCAGATAGAACACTTTCAATCGTTAACAAGAGATTAGGTGTTAAAACTTGACAATATTTTTATTTAGATGAAACTATGGAAACCAACAATAAATGTTTTTGTATACGTATTGCAGGCAAATAATTAATATTCCTCAAAAAATCGTACATGGCAAGAATCGAGTATTTTTGATAAAAGTCTCGATTAGAAGTGTTGAAGAAGATATGAAAAAAATTCATTTTTATGTTTTTCATCGTATAAAATTTTTTCCGATAATAATACATACGCGTAGAACTTGATTTTTTAAATAATTGCACCTTTAAAAATTCTACGCCAATGGCAGAAAAGGGGGTTGAGCATGAAATTTGGATTGGGTACTCATTTACTACAAAAAAGTACCCTTGATAACACTCGATTTACTCTCATGGTTTTGACAAAGTTTGAATTTTAATAATTATTGTTTATGTTTTAAAATTACTAAAATGCAAATTTCGTGAAAACCATGAGAGTAATCGAGTCTTATCAAGAGTACCTTTTTTAAAGTAAATGAGTTGCGCAATCTAAATTTCATACTCAAACTCCTTTTCTTCCATTGGTGTAGAATTTTTAAAGGTGCAATTATTAAAAAAATCAAGTTCTACGCCTATGTATTATTACCGGACAAAATTTTAACACCATTTTTTTGCCACATAAAACTCTACCAATATACCAAATTTCAGCAAAATCGCATATGCCGTTTTAAATTTATATGGGAAAAACGATTTAAAAATTGTAACTTCCAAGGTCCTCTGGAACCCAAACGAAGCAACTTTGTACTAAGGTAATTTTACAGACACCCTGTATAGGTACATAGGTGTATTAGAAAAAATATATCATTTTTGAAAACAATATTTAACTAAATAGAGCCCGGTGAATTCGATAGCTGAATGTATGAGTGATCACTTGTTTTTTGGATTTTTTGCAAATTATTTTTATTTTAGTAAAATTACATCCTTATAATATCATCTAGAGGTACACTTCTTACTCAAATATTATTTTTTTGTTTAAATAATTAAAAAATCAAAATCGTAAAAAAACTTTGCAATTTATAGTATAAAAAACAAAATTCCACTTCAACCATATACATTTATTCTCTGTATACGCTATAGGTACTAACACATACTTTATAAATTACTAATTCTGATCCAGAACTAATTCTACATTTCTAGAAAATTTTAGCGCAAAAAAAGATAAGGAAAACTTACCTATACATAATAACATCGACGATGTTCTTCACCCCGTTCTTATACAACTCCTGCCAAACTTCATCTTTGGTTTTGTGGGTAGGAATACCGCCCATAAAAATTCTGCAATTATTCATAGAATTTTCGATGACTAAATAAACATCTTTTTGGAATTCTATGTATTTCAATGCCCTGATGGCCGTTTTAGCCATAGAGGAATCCATGTAGGTAACGTAGCAAAAGCCCCGGTTCTTGTCACCCGTTTCCTCCATCATGATTTTGATTCTGTAGACCACTCCCACTTTGCTGAAGAATTCAACCATTTCTTCATCCGATACGAAGAATGGTAGATTTTTCACGAATACTTCTGAACCGGCTGCATAAAAAAAACATTTTGTTATTTAACGATACAAGTCGACAGTTGGCCGAGAGCACAAAGGTGTAAATACATTTATTTTATTGGGAAAAGAGCATAATATATTAAAGAAAGGCATAGATGTGCAGAGCACCAAGCCCTTTGAAAAAGTAATTGCCAGCATCAAACACCAAGTTTGCAATTACCAATTATACCGAGAATAGTTTGTGCAACAAGCGTGGATATGATGGCCATATCACACGAAGACGAAAGTTGAGCACGACGCCGTAGGCGGAGTGGACAATCCACTCGAGTTGTATAGTTTATTTTTTCTACGACCCATTAACGAAAATTTACAAATAAAAATATATTTTAGGTTATTAAGATAAAATAACTAATTTTAAAATAATTTATACTTTTAATAATTTTAAAAACGAAAAGAAAAATACGTGTGGCACTCTGGGACTGCCGCGGTAAAGCTATTGCATAGCATTTTTAATCAACTTATGCAATTATAATTATTTATTTATTTTATTTATGCATTATTTTTTTTTCTTTGATATTAATTCAAGTTTTTTTTTTGATATTAATTCAAGTTACACTTTTTGAGCGTGGTGACCGATAAGAAAACAATATTTTTTCTTTTATTGAATAAATGAGAAGTTAATATTGTTTAAAATATTTTTATTATCTTACAATACATGTATTCAGGAATTTTTATGGACAAACGAAAATTTTGGGTTGACAAACGTGGACAACGTGTGGACAATTGAATACCACTTTAAAATTATCAAAAAGTTTTTATGGCGGTGCTGTGAAATTTGGCTCATTTTTTTTAAATTTGCTATAACTTTTTTTGAAGGGTGGTAGACTAACAAAAATTTTACCTAGACAAACGAAAATACTGTGTGGACAAACGATTCAATAGTTAGTTTTATTAAATTGCCATTAGAATTACTTATACTAATAATTATTTATATTTTGAATTTGCTAATAACTTATTTCTGTTGGATGGACAAACGAAAATAAGACCTGAATAAACAAAAATAGTGTTTGGACAAACGATTGTCGTATTTAATTCGTATGAAATCTATTAAGATTGTCCATAAAGATTGTCTGCATTATTTTTTTATTTTTTAAATATCTTGGTTTTGGGCAGTGGACAAACGAAAATTTTGGTTGGACAAACGTGGACAAATCGAATACCACTTTGAAATGATCAAAAAGTTTTTATGGCGGTGCTGTGAAATTTGGCTCAATTTTTTAAATTTGTTATAACTTTTTTTTGAAGGTTGGACGAACGGAAATTGGGCCTGGACAAACAAAAATATTGTCGATAAACGATTGCAATATATAGTTAGTTTTATTAAATTGTCATTAGAATTACTTATACTAATTATTGTTTATATTTTGAATTTTTAGTTTGTTAATAACTTATTTCTGTTGGATGGAAAAACGAAAATAGGGACTAGATAAAAGAAAATAGTGTGTGGACAAACAATTGTCGTATTTAATTCTCAAATGAAAATTTTGATTGGACAAATGAAAATTTTGGATAGACACTTTGAAATTATCAAAAAACTTTTATGGCGGTGCTGTGAAATTTGGCTCAAATGTTTAAATTTGCTATAATTTTTTTTTAAAGGGTGGGCAAACGAAAATTTTTGTTGGACAGTCGTGGATTTATTTTTATAAAAATTCGGATTTGGCGGTGTTAACTTCACGGACATCGGTATTTAATTTGAACACCCGGTAGATTTAAGTTAAACGGTTGCAGAGATATGAAATGTTTGGCCTCACTTTAGGCCTCCGTAACTGCTTAGGGGTACAACTTAGTATAGAGGTAAATTGTATTAAATTTTCATATTTTGGGTTGTCCAACACGCACCTGTTCTGTGTTGGTATTTATGCGGAACACCCTGTACAGATTAAATTGTGTAAAAATATCAACCTGATAGTATGTCTAGTTTTGGAGCTATTTTAGATTGTTTGTTGACCTCAAAATATAAAAATATTGAAAGTACTAATCGTATCATTTTTTTTAATACAATTTGTTTTATATCTATTTTATAGTTTATATTTGTTTAAAATTTTCTTGCTTCTACTATTTATTCAATAATTACCGCAATATTGATTTAATAAATTTCATTTAGCTCAGCGACTGACGCCGGTGTTCATTCAGGTACCTTCGGCATTTTTGTTGCAAAGTTTATATTGTTTGCAGAAATATTTTTCTAGTATTTATGTAATTGTTTAAAAAATTTAAAAAAGTAGTTTCCTCTAATTTGTTTAAATAATTGTAAGAAAAACTAAATTGATTGTTTATTTTACACATAAGTGAAAAAAACCGCACAAAATTAAGGCATGATAAATTACAGAGTTGCAGTTGTGCTATCTTGGGTTTAAACTAGCACTTTTAATACAAAAATATAATATAAAATGTACAAAAATTGGGAACCACGAATAAAAATTAAATAAAATTATACAGCATGTTTCAAAAACATGCGTTGGGTTATTTCACGCCCAAAAATAAGATACATAGTCATCAACAGTGGTACAATTTTTTTTGTTATATTTTTGAAGCAGCTTATACGATTTTAATTTGGAAAACTATCAACAATATTTAAAACTATTACAAGTAAAGAGCATACTAGATTGTTTACGGATTAATTTTAAGTTTGATATCTAACAGAATTTGATATAATTGCATCTCCTAAACAAAATCGAAACCCATAAATATTTTTTGTTAAAAATTATTAAAGCGCTTGTTGCACGCGCGCCCAAGGTAAACCTGTTTACATATTTTTGTTGCTAAAATATGTGCTTCTTTAAATACATTTTACAACCAAAATATTTTGAAAAACCAAAAATACAGTTATTATGTTACTTTGAAAGATAACATTTGCGGAGACAAGTTAAAAGAAACTATTTGTCTTTTTTTTCAATATGGAATCACCCCACGAGCGATAGCATAGTTTTTTAAAACTACCCTGTATAGTAATGTCCACATATGCATTTAGAACACCATGTATATATATAATATTGAAGTTAATTAGTGCTTAATTCAGGGTCGTGACAATTAGTTCTCAATTGCTAACTCAAAACTGAATAGCAGTGAAATTTTCCTGCGTTTTTACTTTCCTATCTGTATACAGATAAGGAAAGTATAGAAATCATGATTTTATCGACCTCGAGTTTTTGACGGATTTTTACGTTTTGGGGTCCCCTGAATCCGTTTTGACTATTTTCGCGATGATGTCTGTGTATGTCTATATCCTCGATAACTCATGAACGGATACAAAGAAAAACACCAAATTTTAAACTTAGGATTTATTCCGGCCTCCAGTGAACTGATTAGATTTTGGACAGAGTCGGAACCTCTGGGGGGTACTTTATGGATGATGATTTTTATATTTCATGAAATACATCTATTATTTACGTTTGGAGAAGAAAATTCTTTAAATAAAAGTTACTTACAATATTATTATCTTTAATTTTTCTTCTATACAAAATTTTCCTAAAATGGCCCGTATTCGAAAAATTTTATAAAATGCAAAAAAAAATGTTTATAAAAATTGTTTGAATAAAAGTTGTTTGTAATATAATTCTATATAATTTTTATCCTATACATAATTTCACTAAAATGGACCGTATTCGAGATATTTGAAAAAATGTGCAAATTACAAATTTTGAAGAAAACTCAAAAACGGATAAAGAAAAAACATTAAATTTTAATCTTAAGTTTTATTTCGGCCTGAGGTGAACTGATTAGATTTTGGACAAAGTCGGAACTTTATAGGAGGTCGTTTTTATATTTTCTGGAATATATCTTATTTATTTTTGGAGAAGAAAATTGTTCAAATAAAAGTTACTACTAATATCTATAATTTTTGCCTCATGCCAAATTTTCATGAAATGTCGAGAAACAAAATGTGCAAATTCAGATTTTTAAGAAAATTGTTAATCTAAAAGTTGTTTGTGATATCGAGCTCTGCAATTTTAGTTTTTTACATGATTTTTCTAAAATGGACCGTAATGGAAAAATTGGAGGAAAAGTGCTAAATTTATATTTTTCAGATCTATGTGGAAAATGTATATATTTAGTTTATCCTCTAAACATTTATAGAGGTGCGGCAATAGGTTGTACAAAATAACCGGAAAACGCCTATAATAACTACTTAGGAAAGTCATGTGTTGGACACATCAGATATTTTAATACATTTTTTCAATTTGATTTTAACATTACAAAAAAAAAACTTACCTTCAGGAACATATCCACTATTATTGCACACGTTGCTTGAGATCACTTTTTGATATTTAATACATTCTACTTTAAAATCTTGCAACGAAGCCATTTTTTCTTGTTTCGGATACGAAGGGTGAACAGGTACTGGGGATGCAAAGTTGTCTTGAGGGCGAGGGTACCTGGGTACCAAAGGTCTCTTTCCGTCTATTGGTCTGTCATTCTTGTAGTGGGATATTAACCAACCCCTTAATTTTACCATTACGATTATTGGTTTTGACAACAGTTTAGGGTAAAGGAGGGATGGTTCCTAGTAAAATGATTTATGGCTTGTTTGTTTTCGAAGTTTATTGCTGCAAAGTGAATCATTATGTTAGATGGTTGAAATTTTATTTAATGCGTAGTAGATTTCATCAGAAATTCCGCTTCTTAGAAAATAAATGTTAAAAATAGTAAACATGATATTTACATCTAAAATATGTACTCTCTCCTTTCATTTTCACCTATATGGGAACTTTCTTATTTTAAACGGGACATCACTATTTTTAAAGCGGTTTCCGATAGAACAAGAAATTTTAGGATCACTTTGTATATTAAAGTGTATAGCTAAAATTGGTAATTTATGAAAAACAAATATTAAAAAAAATACCGTTGAGGGTATTAAAATACTATTTATTTTTGGATATAGTTAAAAAAAATTTTAGTTGAATTATGATGAATAAGGTAGTAATAAACTACAGGGTGTCCATCTATAAATTGGCACATTTTAGCAAAGTATAACTCAAGAACGGAAAAAGATATCGACATGCAATTTTCACTAGAATT